CTTGGAGGTCGTCCTTGGAGGCCGGACGGTTTCAAGTGGGCCGGTGCAAATGATGCGGAGAGACTGCTCGGGGTCTGGGTCACCGCCTCAGGCGACTGCAAGGCGACATGGGACAAGACACTGCTGAGACTTCTGGGGGAAATGGGGAAATGGGAGCTGAAGTACCTCACGATTACGGCGAGGGCGGTTGTCATCAATGGTTACATTACCCCGATCATCGCCTTCCAGGCGCAGGTTTACCCGCCGCCGCAGGAGGTCTAGGGTCGGATATCGAAGCTGATTCATAATTTCCTCTCGGGCAATCACGCGTCGGAGGAGGGGTGTTTCATCCTGTGGGGGAGGGAAACAATATTCGCAACACGGGAGGAGGGAGGAGTTGGTGTGAAGGACCCGGGGGTTCTGGTCACCTGTCTGGCCGCTAGAAGGATCGGAATCCTGCTCACCGAGCCGGATGATTTCAAACGAGACATGATGCTCGCAGCAGCAGGCCTGCCGCTGGGACTGGATACTTTCCTATCGCATGAGAAGCTGTTAAAACACTGGGTTGGGGGGAGCGCGCGATGGAAGCAAACCTGCCAATGTTTCATGGCGTCGCCGTTCGCTTCGGTCAGCATGCCTCTCACCGCAGCAGAAGTTGCCGCAGAGAGATTGGTTTTCAACAGAGGCATTCTACTTAACGGGAGAACGCCGGTTGGGGGACAGAAGGCTGCTAAGGCGCTTTGGGAGATCAAGCTGGAAGACCTGGTGGCGCCCATGGCGAACGGTGGGATGGCAGTAAAGAGCGAGGAGACCCTAGCATTGTCGCTTGGAACAGCTTCTGCTCCGCTGGCGCTGAAGGGGCTGGCTGCCGCGCCTGAGAACTGGAGGGAGCTGTTGCTCGCCTCATCGGAAGGAAATCAGGGCGCAGGCACGGGGGGAAGGGCAGCTGTAGCCCCTGGGGGTAAACTATTCCGCACACCCATTTTTCACCTCGGCCAAGTCGCCCCGATTAAGCACCTGCGGCTAGCATGGAGAAGACGGGGGCACTCGGCGCGGAGGAGGGAGAAGTGGGCAAACCGTTGGGGGGGGGAAATTGACTGGAAGCGGGTGACCAAGATCCGTGATTCACTTACCACGCCTAGTCGCCCCAGAGATGTTTTAATCAGGGTGCATAATTTCAACCTACAGGTCGGTGAAAGGCTGGCCTTCCTCAGTTCGAAGCCAAAATGTCCGTACTGCTGCGAGGAGGAGTCGATGGAGCACTGTCTTTTCGAGTGCCCGAGGATTCAGCCAGTGCTGGGAGCTTTGAAAACAGCCCTCAAGATGCTTAACCCCGGGCGCAACATTTCATCGCTGGGCGACCTTCTTTTTGGGCGAGCGGCGTCCAGCTCAGCATTTCCAGAAGCAACACTTACGGCGATCACTATCCATCAGCTGTGGGTTGAGAGATGTGAAGCGGCTTTCCGGGAGGAAAAATTCCGGTTGAGACGGGTACTATGGAGGATAGAGGCAGCGTTTCGGCTGCATGCGAGGGTCTTCATGAAACACGCGGGAGAGAAACTGCAGAAAGACAACGCATCAGGGCAAAAGGTGACACATGGTGGAGGGCCGAGTCAGGAGATGAAGCTTCTGGATCGAATCAGGGACAGGAACGCAAAGAAGTGGACGTGGAAGGCGGGCTTTGCAGCCATTTGGACGCGACAAAGAAGGGGCAGCATCAGGCCAGGGCAGCTACACTGAGGCGGGTTATCACCTAGCCTCCAAGCGCAGTTACGACTGTTCTTGCTTTTGTACACTTGCCTATTCGGTGTATAATGCAATTACCAACAAGAGGCGACGAATTCGTCTTAGGGTTGCGAAGCGTTTTGCGCAATTATATAAATTTGTACAACTTCTAATTCTGTACATAATGCTGTAGTATGACACTAAGTGGTACTTCCTCTCACCAGGAAAAGGTCAAAAATGTATAAGATTGGGATTCGAACCGAAGACTTTTCGATTTCACTCCAAGCCTTGTACCACTGCTACATCACAGATGTTTGCTTCGAATAGCTAAAGTTTTTAAAAATAAACAATTGCGACGAATCTGAGACTACCTTAGAGTTTGTTCGCCCTTTTTTTCTCCCGCTTCTCCTCGCTCGTCACGCTCTACCAACTTCTCCACCTACTCTAACTGCAACTTAGGTAAGAAGATCCCTCAACTTTAACTCCAACTAAATTAGATGCCTATTAGATAGACTAACATTTAGTCATTCCGTATCCTAGCCGTGTAAATGGATGAGTATTAGCGAGACTTAGTTGTTTAAACTTAGGTTCTCGGCCCTTTGTAAAGATTTCAGGTTCTCCTTCCTGCATAAGCTTGCATCTGTTTCTTCTATTCTTCATCCTTAAACTTTTCCTCTCGTCGGTTGCCTTTTCTTCATATTTGCATGTTTTAGTTCATTTTTTTCTCAACCTCGTCTTAGGTTGTACATAAAGATTGTAATAGGTTGCATGTTCAGTCCATTTCGTTCTCTCTCGCTCGTTCTCTCTCTCCCGTTCTCTCTCTCCCGTTCTCTCTCTCCCGTTCTCTCTCTCCCGTTCTCTCTCGCTCGTTCTCTCTCTCCCATTCTCTCTCCCGTTCTCTCTCGCTCGTTCTCTCTCTCCCGTTCTCTCTCTCCCGTTCTCTCTCTCCCGTTCTCTCTCTCCCGTTCTCTCTCTATCGTTTTCTCTCTCTCGTTCTCTCTCTCGTTCTCTTTCTCGTTCTCTCTCGTTTTCTTTCTCTCTCGTTCTCTCTCTCTCTCTCTCTCTCTCTCTCTCTCTCTCTCTCTCGTTCTCTCTCTCTCTCTTTCTTTCTCTCTCTCTCTCTCTCTCTCTCTCTCTCTCTCTCTCTCTCTCTCTCTCTCTCTTTCGTTCTCCCTCTCTCTTGTTCCCTCTCTCTCGTTCTCTCTCTCGTTCTCTCTCTCGTTCTCTCTCTCGTTCTCTCTCTCGTTCTCTCTCTCTCTCTCTCTCTCTCTCTCTCTCTCTCTCTCTCTCTCTCTCTCTCTCTCTCTCTCTCTCTCTCGTTCCGTCTCTGTCGTTCTCTCGTTCTCTTTTGTCGAATCTCTCGTTCGTTCTCTCTCGTTCGTCCACTCTCTCGTTCTCGCTCTCTCGTCCTCTCTCTCTCTCTCTCTCTCTCTCTCTCTCTCTCTCTCTCTCTCTCTCTCTCTCTCTCTCTCTCTCTCTCTCTCTCTCTCTCGCTCTCGCTCTCGCTCTCGGTCTCCGTTGTTCTCGCTCAACGTATTTGTTATATTCTCTTCGTTCGTTTACTGTCTGGTCATGTGTTTTTCCCTTTGTTCTCTTTCTTTACTTTCGTTTTATGCCTTAGTACATTTTCTCCTTGTCATTTGTCAGCTCTAACCCTTCAATGCTCATGGCGTTTTTCTTGGCCCTTGTATTGTTTCATTTGTTTCTTCATTATTCCTTTTTCTTGTAATTTCATTATGCCTTGTTATTTCCCATTTGCCTTCCCTTCCTCAACCCAGCTTTGTCTTACTTTTCAGGCAGTCGAGCTCAATATGAGAAGTAGACTGATATTGCTTGTGACTTACAGTATAGGATACATAATGTCTTGGTGATTTAGGTTTCTATTTCATATGCGGTTAATATGCTTTGTCAGTTGACTTCGTGCGTGCGTGTCTGTGTGAATATGTATGATCATGTGTATGCGTTGTGTTGTGTGCGTATGCGTTTTCATTCATGTTTCCATTGCATTAATAACACATGTCTGTGGGGTTTAAAAATTGGGATCAAACTATCATTTCCGAGAAGGTTCTTTGCGCACTCAGTGAGTGTGTCCATTCGAACTGGATTTGATGGAATCGACCTGTTTTTTATATCACACAGATTGTGTTGTTTCATGTAACAGTTGGATGATTCAGAAATTATGCTATTGAGCTCCCCCCCATGCTAGGCAGGGGATGCGGTAGCATAGGGTCTGCGTCAATTAACTGTTACGCACTTCCATCATGCTGTGCATTTATTTCATTACGGTACCGGTAGTACCGTATATGCATTATACTTATGCATTTGCATTTACTTCATCTACTTATAACAACAGCAGACATATGCATCACGGAATAAACAGTTATGCATTCACAGTACATCATTTTGGCAACTCATGAAATATAGGTTCAGTCAAAGTAAACTAGGAAATGAGAAGGAATGTGGTTCAGCACGTGGTAAATTGACGCGGCAGATATATAGCAGTCAGTCATTTAGCTAGTACCGTTCACTATATTTTTTCCCTCTATTTTTTAAAGGTATTGAGGATTGAAAAAAAAAATGTACATAACGATTGTAATAGGTTGCTTCGCAACCCAAAAAAAAAAAAAAACAAGAGGCGACGAATTCGTCTTAGGGTTGCGAAGCGTTTTGCGTAATTATATAAATTTGTACAACTTCTAATTCTGTACATAATGCTGTAATATGACACTACGTGGTACTTCCTCTCACCATGAAAAGGTTAAATATACAGCGATCGAGATTCGAACCAAGGACCTCTCGATCCCACTCCAAGCCTTGTACCACTGCTACAGCACATATGTTTACCTAGAACAGCTAAGTTACTTGAAAAATTAAAAATATGCGACGAATCTGAGACTACCTTAGGGTTTGCCGGCCCTTTTTTTCTCCCGCTTTTCCTCGCTCGTCACGCTCTACCAACTTCTCCACCTACTCTAACTGCAACTTAGGTAAGAAGATCCCTCAACTTTAACTCCAACTAAATTAGATGCCTATTAGATAGACTAACATTTAGTCATTCCGTATCCTAGCCGTGTAAATGGATGAGTATTAGCGAGACTTAGTTGTTTAAACTTAGGTTCTCGGCCCTTTGTAAAGATTTCAGGTTCTCCTTCCTGCATAAGCTTGCATCTGTTTCTTCTATTCTTCATCCTTAAACTTTTCCTCTCGTCGGTTGCCTTTTCTTCATATTTGCATGTTTTAGTTCATTTTTTTCTCAACCTCGTCTTAGGTTGTACATAAAGATTGTAATAGGTTGCATGTTCAGTCCATTTCGTTCTCTCTCGCTCGTTCTCTCTCTCCCGTTCTCTCTCTCCCGTTCTCTCTCTCCCGTTCTCTCTCTCCCGTTCTCTCTCGCTCGTTCTCTCTCTCCCATTCTCTCTCCCGTTCTCTCTCGCTCGTTCTCTCTCTCCCGTTCTCTCTCTCCCGTTCTCTCTCTCCCGTTCTCTCTCTCCCGTTCTCTCTCTCCCGTTTTCTCTCTCTCGTTCTCTCTCTCGTTCTCTTTCTCGTTCTCTCTCGTTTTCTTTCTCTCTCGTTCTCTCTCTCTCTCTCTCTCTCTCTCTCTCTCTCTCTCTCTCTCTCTCTCTCTCTCTCTCTCGTTCTCTCTCTCTCTCGTTCTCTCTCTCTCTCTTTCTTTCTCTCTCTCTCTCTCTCTCTCTCTCTCTCTCTCTCTCTCTCTCTCTCTCTCTCTCTCTCTCTTTTGTTCTCCCTCTCTCTTGTTCCCTCTCTCTCGTTCTCTCTCTCGTTCTCTCTCTCGTTCTCTCTCTCTCTCTCTCTCTCTCTCTCTCTCTCTCTCTCTCTCTCTCTCTCTCTCTCTCTCTCTCTCTCTCTCTCTCTCTCTCTCGTTCCGTCTCTGTCGTTCTCTCGTTCTCTTTTGTCAAATCTCTCGTTCGTTCTCTCTCGTTCGTCCACTCTCTCGTTCTCGCTCTCTCGTCCTCTCTCTCTCTCTCTCTCTCTCTCTCTCTCTCTCTCTCTCTCTCTCTCTCTCTCTCTCTCTCTCTCTCTCTCTCTCTCTCTCTCGCTCTCGCTCTCGCTCTCGCTCTCGGTCTCCGTTGTTCTCGCTCAACGTATTTGTTATATTCTCTTCGTTCGTTTACTGTCTGGTCATGTGTTTTTCCCTTTGTTCTCGTTCTTTACTTTCGTTTTATGCCTTAGTACATTTTCTCCTTGTTATTTGTCAGCTCTAACCCTTCAATGCTCATGGCGTTTTTCTTGGCCCTTGTATTGTTTCATTTGTTTCTTCATTATTCCTTTTTCTTGTAATTTCATTATGCCTTGTTATTTCCCATTTGCCTTCCCTTCCTCAACCCAGCTTTGTCTTACTTTTCAGGCAGTCGAGCTCAATATGAGAAGTAGACTGATATTGCTTGTGACTTACAGTATAGGATACATAATGTCTTGGTGATTTGGGTTTCTATTTCATATGCGGTTAATATGCTTTGTCAGTTGGCTTCGTGCGTGCGTGTCTGTGTGAATGTGTATGATCATGTGTATGCGTTGTGTTGTGTGCGTATGCGTTTTCATTCATGTTTCCATTGCATTGATAACACATGTCTGTGGGGTTTAAAAATTGGGATCAAACTATCATTTCCGAGAAGGTTCTTTGCGCACTCAGTGAGTGTGTCCATTCGAACTGGATTTGATGGAATTGACCTGTTTTTTATATCACACAGATTGTGTTGTTTCATGTAACAGTTGGATGATTCAGAAATTATGCTATTGAGCTCCCCCCCATGCTAGGCAGGGGATGCGGTAGCATAGGGTCTGCGTCAATTAATTGTTACGCACTTCCATCATGCTGTGCATTTATTTCATTACGGTACCGATAGTACCGTATATGCATTATATTTATGCATTTGCATTTACTTCATCTACTTATAACAACAGCAGACATATGCATCACGGAATAAACAGTTATGCATTCACAGTACATCATTTTGGCAACTCATGAAATATAGGTTCAGTCAAAGTAAACTAGGAAATGAGAAAGAATGTGGTTCAGCACGTGGTAAATTGACGCGGCAGATACATAGCAGTCAGTCATTTAGCTAGTACCGTTCACTAGATTTTTTCCCTCTATTTTTTAAAGGTATTGAAGATTGAAAAAAAAAATTGTACATAACGATTGTAATAGGTTGCTTCGCAACCCAAAAAAAAAAATTCCGATGTGCTTCAGAAATTATAATCAGCGGTACGGTCGTGCGAGCAAACCAGACGTGAAGGGAAGAGGAGAGTAGGAGTAGTGTAATCCACGACATAGCCTCGCTGTCGCTTCACTTCATCACTTTCCTTCCCCTAGGTCCACGGTAAGTTCGACTCTATCGTATTGTAGGTCTCAGCTCAACCTGTTTGTCTCTCCCTGATACCGTCACCCGGCGACAGAAAGAAGCGCCGAATTTCAGGTGCTTTTGAGTCTCCTGAAATGTCGTCTGCTCGTCAGCCGTCATTCAGCCCATCCATCTCCGTCCCGTGCGGCTCTTCGCCGAAATTCGCCTGTCTCGAGACTTCGAGAGAGCTTGTGTAAACCCCACCGGCTCGTCTCTCTTTCCTGCTCCCGCTTCGTCTCCCCCCTTACTCCCCCTCCCCCGCTCAGCTGTACCTCCTCTCCCTCCCTTCCCCCTTCTCCGCCTTTCCGCGCTGCTTCCTTCCCCGATCTCGCCGTTGCACCTCCGAAAGACAGCTGAGACGGACGGCTGAGATTCTTTCAGAGTGGCCGCGAAGGATCGCCAGGCGATGGATGCGATGGCGGCTCGCCTGCAGAGCTCCTTCGATGTGCGTCTCGCCATTCCATTCCACCCGTGCACTGCTGGCGCACGCTGCTTTCCCTGCCATCCTTCCACCACTTTCCGCCACCCTTTCCCACGTTTGCGCCACCTTTCTGCCACCCTTCCGCGACGCTTCCAACAATTCTTTACTCACCCTTCCTACCCGTTTTGTCCTCTTTTGATCCCGCTCTGGTCGTCACTTACTCCGGTTTTCTTGCTCCCATCTGTAGCTGTCTGTCACTTCTTCCCATCGGCCTCTCCTCCTTCCATGTTGCCTCGCCTGTCAGGAGGTGCTCGCCTCTGCCTCGCTGCTCGTGGAGGCTGCTTCTTCCGCTCCTCGTGGTGGTGCGCACTCAGGGTACACACGTTAAGGCATTTCTCCCATGCACACGCCTCTCCCGCGCACCTCTCACCCACACACGTCTGACTCCCACGCACACCACACACACACACACACACACACACACACACACAAACACAAAAACACACACACACACACACACACACACACCTGCCTTTTCCCCTTCTCTCTTTTAATCTCCTCCGCTTAACTTGCCCTACTCTCACTAATTTTGCCGTTCCCTTTTGCCCCATTCTGTTCCTTATCCCCCAAATCATTGGACATTGAACACTTCCTTGATTTCCATCGTCCTCTTTATAAGCAGCTCCAGTGCGCCACGCAGTGAGGTGGCGATAGCATCAGCGCTGGAGGTGTTTCAGAGCCGAGTGGACCTCTTTCAATCCGCCTGCGACCGGGCTCAGCAGCAAGTGGTGAGTCGTGAGGCTCAGCAGCAAGTGGTGAGTCATGTGACATGCGATTTTTTTGTCGACTGAGATGATTGGCTTAGCAGCAAGTGGTGAGTAGTGAGGCACAGCCATTTTTCTAGTCGACTGGGAAGTTGGCTCAGCAACAAGTGGTGAGTAGTGAGACATGAGCAATGCCTGAGTCAACTGATAAATCGGCAGAGCACCAGGACTGGGCTCACAGCAAGTGGTGAGTCGTGGGGCACTGGAAACTTTTTACCACTCCTTCAACTGTCGCCCTGCGTGCAGGACGCAGCAAGCAAGGCACCGGCTGCTGTCAATTGGACGAGTCCAGAGGCATGACAGTGATTTTGTTTGCTGCATAGTCCCTGGTATCATGTGTCTTCCCCTCTCTCCCACCATCCAGTACGCAGCGAGGCACAGGCTGGTGTTCAAAAGCCTGGTGGATGGAGCAAGAGGAAGAAAATGAGCTCGTTTGTTCCATGTTTTACCACTCCTTCGACTGTCTCCCTGCGTGCAGGCCCTGTTGTCAAGTGGACAGTTCCAGATGCAAGAGAGTGATTCGTTTGCTGGATAGTCCCTGATATCATCCTCCTTCACCTCTTTCCCCACGCGCAATGGAAAGCCTGGTTGACAATGCAAGAGATGCAATAACGAGTTCACTTGCTTTCCCCACTCCCCGATTCATAATCCGGTGCCTGTCCCCCGCTTGCAGGGCACAGCAAGGCACTGGCTCAAATTCTGAGTTTAGCTTTTCTCCATTCCCTACTGCCATCCTCCTCCGCGTGTCCCCCCACTTGCAGGACACAGCAAGGCACCGGCTGCTGTCAGAAAGCCTGGTGGACGAAGCAAGAGGCGCAGCAATTGACACGTCTGCCGTGGGTGCAGCCGGAGGAGAGGGGGAGGTGCAGATGATGCTGGGAGCAACTCGGTTGGAGCAGAGGAAGGTAGTGAGAGCCATGGTGCAGGACCAGCAGCACAGGCATGCAGTGAAGAGCTGAGTTGCAGTGTTGTACTCACTGATTTGGGAGGGCAGGGATTGTGCAAGCTATGCTGAGGACTAAGCTGCAAACTGCAAGAGTCATGGCGCAGAATTTGCAATAAATGCTCATAAGTGGAATCAATTAGGTGCTCGCAGATGTGCTATGCCATGCAAAGCAATAATGCTGAGTCGAGAACTTGTGTTGGGATGCTGACACTTACGATTCGATCATTGTTGGGGGTCGCTTGTTTTAGAATATCGTGGAAATTTATGAACAGCCTTGCAGCTGATATCTAGTATAGATACAAAGCACCACAACTAGACAACTGCACATTTAAGCGCCGGGGGTGAAGTTGGTGGCATAGGCCCACGCGTTGTTCACGGTGGGGTCAGCCAGGTGGTCGGACAGATTCTCCAGGGGGCCCTTGCCGGTGACGATGGCCTGCACGAAGAAGCCGAACATCGACACCATGGCGAGGCGGCCGTTCTTCAGCTCCTTCACCTTCAGCTCAGCAAGGGCATCGGGGTCGTCAGCCAGACCCAGGGGGTCGAAGGCACCGCCGGGGTACAGGGGGTCCTCAACCTCTTGGAAGCCCTCGAGGCCACCCACGCGGTAGCTCTCGACGGCACCCATGAGGATGACCTGGGTGGCCCAAATGGCCAGGATGGACTGCGCGTGGATCAGGCTGGGGTTGCCGAGGTAGTCAAGGCCGCCCTCGGAGAAGATCTGGGCACCGGCCTTGAACCACACAGCCTCGCCGAAGTTCACGCCGTTGCCGGCGAGGAGCTCTGGGGTGAGGCAGCCGAGGGCACCGAGCAGAGCCCAGCGGGCGTGGATCACCTGAAAGAGAAGGGAGGCAAAAAAGAGCCGGCAATGGTTAGATACCGAGTCAAAGAGTTGGCGACGGTGACAGCAGAGATGGAACGGATTCAATCAGAAATTACGAAATTACGAAATTGCCGACATTTGGTGTAAGCAACGCACCTCCAGCTCGCGGTTCTTGGCGAAGGTCTCGGGGTCAGCGGACAGACCCGCGGTATCCCAGCCGTAGTCACCGGGGTACTCGCCGGTGAGGTAAGACGGGGGGGAGGAGAACGGGCCCAGGAACAGGTTGCGGTCGGGGCCGTAGAAGGCGCTGCTGGAGGCCGCCTTGGCGGTCTTCCTCATCGTCACACGGGCATCGACATTGTTCACCTTGGCGGCGAGCTCAGCGCTCTGGCCGACGAAGGTGGACGGGAGCACAGCGGCGTTGGCGAGGGCGGCCATTGTCGACTGCGGAAGAGTGTACAACTAAAAAGTTGTGTAGGAACCTGGGATGATTCTGTCGCTTACTTGAGAATCGTGGGAAGACCAGCAACATTTGAATAATGGCGAATTTCGAACGGACCAGGGGGCTGCCTGACTGAGATGCGCGGTTGAATGCGGTGAGGTGGGGTGTGATGTGGATGGGTAGAAAGCAGGTGGATGAGGTTGGTGCTTGGCTGGACGCTGAAAGGTTGGGGATTATGTGTGTCCCTAAATCATGATTGGCTGAAAATCGCCTGGGGAGCTGCTGGGTGTTTCAGGATTGGACGGTTTCTATCAGAATCGCGAAGCGCGTGATCGATTTGTGTGCACGACACGCCAGAATCATCCTGGCGTCTTATCGCGCATCTGGATAATCGGGTTCTACCAATGGTGGAGGTTGACGTGGTCCCATCCCAATAAGGTTGGGCAATGTACACTTTCGTCTCATCGCGCATCTGGCTGGGTAATCAGGGTCTACCAATGGCTGATGTTGAGGTGGTCCCGTACCAAAGAGGTTGAAGGAGAATTCCTTCCTATTGCATTCTCCATTCCTGTATTCGTTCGGTCACTTCCATTACGGGGAATAAAGTAGGTAAGAGATCATAAATGGCTACCGGTATTACACAAGCCAAAAACATAATCACATTCCATCGCTGAAAGCTACATCTGGAATAATCGAAAGGTTTTGGAAGCATTCCCGAAGGTAACGCGATAGCGTATCACCTCATAGAGAAGTTGCACAGTAACGTTATCGCGTTACACTTATATGGAGTAGGGATTCGCACTAAAAGTCGAAATTATGTGGTGGTTTCATACGTTGTTTTCGCGGCCGAGCGCCCCTCCCTGACACATCCTCTTGGTTCTGGTGGTATGACATGTCGTATCTGGCCGTAAGAGATTGCTCTAACCTAGGCCGTGCGATCCAAGCGGCGGATCGAGGCGTTCACGGTTGTCGCAGCAACCCCCAGCCATGCGTGATCGACCGATTAGCCTTATTTCGCTAGCAGCTGGAAACTGGCACAGCAAAGCCAACTCGCTAGGTGCTGTGGATAGTTGCTGGATTCTCGATTCCTCCGCCTCATGCGCTTTCTACTCCTCCATCTTCCGTAGAAGGAGACCAGATGTCTCGAAACTCGATCCATTGCAACCGCATGCCGCGTCGCGTTTCAAAATCGCGAATTCCCCTCAGAGTCGCTCGCGTTCATCTGAGCCGTCCGTTCGTGCGCTCGGAAATCCATGGAGGGTTCACAACCGTCCGATCGCAAGCCCTTCCATGGCCCGAGCTCCCGTTTACTCACCACAACTGAGCCCCGTTGTAACGAGGACGTTCTCGAGCGGGCTCGGCGCGCTGCATTTCAGCGACAGTGCGGAGCAGCAGCAGCAGCAACAGCCGCCGCCGCTGCCGCAGCAGCAGCAGGAAAGGCATGTAGCGGCTCTAGAATCAGAATTCCGACCAACCCGTGTGGGAAGCGACACGGCCGGAGACGGGGCAAGGCACAATGTTAGCGCATCCTCGTTTGTAGCGTCCTCGACTGCACGGCATTCGTTCCGTCAGGCCATCCGGACCGGCCCGTCGCTCTCAGATTTCATCAGGCGGGCAGCTGAACGAGAAGCAGGAGCAGAAGCAGGAGATGAGGGAGCAAAGGGAGCAGGAAAAGCAGCAAGGAGAGTGGGAGGGAAAGATTCAGATTCGAAGCAAATGGCTGATTTGCTTCCTAAAAACCCGTCACTCCATCCCCATCAATCCACACAATCGCTTCAAGCACAAATCAACGCTACCCAGGCTGACCTCCCACCACACTTTCACGAATCCATCCCCGATATTGCCACAAATTCGTTTAAGAATAAAGTAACAGACCCCAGGGGAGTGTACCTGGAGTCGTACGGATGCCAGATGAACGTGAACGACCTGGAGGTGGTGCTGGGGATCCTCAGATCAGCAGGGTTCAACGTGGCGCGCGCTGTTAGGCCAGAGGAGGCACGGGTGATTCTGGTGAACACGTGTGCGATCAGGGAGAATGCAGAGGCGAAGGTGTGGCATCGGCTGAACTATTTTAAACATGTGAAGCGGAAGTGGAGAGATAAATTCGTTCTGCCGGCCGCTGCTGCTGCCGCCGCCGCCGCTGCCGATATTGCCAGTGCTAGTGCAGCTGCTGTTGGTTCTGCTGCTGGTGCGGCATCTGTTACAGGGTTACCACCGGGGTGGTTACCACCTCCACCCAAGGTGGCGGTGCTGGGGTGCATGGCAGAGCGGCTGAAGGAGCAGCTAGTGGCAGCGGATAAGATGGTTGACGTGGTGTGTGGGCCCGACGCTTACAGGGATCTACCACGGCTCCTAGATGAGGTGAGAGCCAGATGTGTGACTGTAACGAGGTGCGCTTCTAATGAGAATGTGTGTCGGTTTAGGAAGGAGCAGAGCAGCTGGTGGTGGCGGATAAGATGGTGGACGTGGTGTGCGGCCCTGACGCTTATAGGGACCTGCCACGCCTGCTGGACGAGGTAAGAGCTGGATGTGTGATTGTAACGAGGTGGGCTTGTAATGAGAACGTCTCCCTTCTACCCCCTCCCCATCCGCCTCCGTGCCCTTTCCACTCCTATCTTGACAAAAAGCAGGTTGAAACGGGTCAGCCCAGGGTCAACACCCTCTTCTTAAGTCAAAACCCTCATCATGCCCTTTTGCTCCCCTCCCCCCAGTCCCCTTCCTTTTTCCTGACAAAACAGGTTGAAACGGGTCAGCCCAGGGTCAACACCCTCTTCTTGAGTCAAAAAGGTTCCTCTCGTCTGCCTATATTTATCCAACCTTGCTTTTTTTTATTTTCCTGCTAAAACAGGTGGAGGCAGGCACATGCTGTTCCACCTGTTGGATAAATAGGTAAAACAGGTGGAGGCAGGCCAGCCTGGAACCAACACCCTCCTCTCTCTCTCGACGAAACCTACGCTGACGTGTCACCTGTTCGGCTCACCTCTTGTTCAGTCAGCACGTTTGCGACTACAATGAGGGGGTGTGACAGCATGTGCTCTTATCCTCACGTGGGTCAGAACCGACCTCCCCACACCACCCCTCCCCCCTCCACCCCCTTTGCTTCGTCCTTATTTATTTTCTCTCGTATTTTCCTTATTTGCCTCGTATTTTCTCTCGTATTTTATTTTCTTCTACCTGTGCTGAACAGGTAGAAGCGGGCAAGACAGGAGTCAACACCCTCCCCTCCCTCAGCGAAACCTATTCTCACGTGTGCATTCTCCCCCCTCCCTCTCCGCCCAAGAACAACAGGTGGAGGCGGGCAAGACAGGAGTCAACACCCTCCCCTCCCTCAACGAAACCTATTCTCACGTGTGCATTCTCCCCCCTCCCTCTCCGCCCAAGAACAACAGGTGGAGGCGGGCAAGACAGGAGTCAACACCCTCCCCTCCCTCAACGAAACCTATTCTCACGTGTGCATTCTCCCCCCTCCCTCTCCGCCCAAGAACAACAGGTGGAGGCGGGCAAGACGGGAGTCAACACGCTCCTCTCCCTCGACGAAACCTATGCTGACGTGCCACTCCCCCTCCCCCTACCCCCACCCTCTCCCTGCACGTCCCCTTTCCTCTCTTCTTTTTGCCCTTGCAATAACAACAGGTGGAAGCGGGTCAGACAGGAGTCAACACGCTCCTGTCTCTCGACGAAACCTACGCTGATGTGTCGCCCGTTCGCCTCGCCTCTAATTCCGTCAGCGCGTTTGTGACTATAATGAGGGGCTGCGACAACATGTGCTCCTACTGCATTGTGCCTTTCACGAGGGGCAGGGAGCGCTCCCGGCCAATCAGGAGCATCCTTGGGGAGATTGAGGAGCTCGCCGGGCAGGGCGTGAAGGAAATTTATCTTCTCGGGCAGAATGTTAACAGTTACCGGGACACGTCAGCATGTGATACGGTTGATTCAGTCACCACCACTGTTTCTTCCCCTTCCTCCTCCTCCTCCTCCTCCTCCTCCTCCTCCTCCTCCTCCTCCTCCTCCTCCTCCTCCTCCTCCTCCTCCTCCTCCTCCTCCTCCTCCTCCTCCTCCTCCTCCCAACCGTACTTGACCCCTGGCTTTTCCACAATCTACAAACCCAAGCTGGGAGGGATCCGATTCGCCACTCTCCTAGACGAAGCTTCCCGGAACTTTCCCGACATCCGCTTCCGCTTCACCTCCCCTCACCCCAAGGACTTTCCCGAGGAGCTTCTTTCGCTCATGGCTGCCCGGGGCAACGTTTGCAAAAGTTTGCATCTGCCCGCACAGAGCGGCAGCAGCAGTGTGCTGGGGAGGATGCGCAGGGGGTATTCGAGGGAGGCGTATCTGGACCTGGTGGAGCGAGTGAGAAGCGTTGTGCCTGGTGCTGCCATTAGCAGTGACTTCATAACAGGTGAGTGCATGGTGAGTGAGGGAGAGAGAGCATTATGAGAGGTAGGGGGAGCGTATCTGCACCTGGTGGATCGCGTGAGGAGCGTTGTACCTGGCGCTGCCATTAGCAGCGACTTTATCACTGGTGAGTGACTGGGTGATAGAGCAGCGTGGGTGGTGAGCGAGGGGCCTTCGATGCACAGGGAGGGGTATTCGAGGGAGCCGTATCTGGACCTTGTGGATCGCATGAGGAGCGTTGTGCCAGGCGCTGCCATTAGCAGTGATTTCATTGCTGGTGACTGGTGAGTGAGGGAGAGGGAGCATCATGAGAGGTGGGTGAGAGTGGTGAGTGAGGGAGGCGTATCTGCAGATGGTGGATCGGGTCAGGGCTACGTCTGAGCCGCGCGCAGGGGATATTCGAGGGAGGCGTATCTGCAGCTGGTGGATCGGGTCAGGGCTACGTCTGAGCCGCACGCAGGGGATATACGAGGGAGGCGTATCTGCAGCTGGTGGATCGACTGAGGAGCGTTGTGCCAGGCGCTGCCATTAGCAGTGACTTCATCACCGGCGGATGAGTGAGGGAGTGAGTGAGTGAGTGAGGGAGTGAGTGAGAGATAGCGACTGAGGGAGCATCATGAGAGTGCGGGGCGTATCTGGAGCTGGTGTGTGCGTGAGAGAGAGAGGGAGAGAGCATTGTCCGACCGAGGTTAGTGCTGGAGTATGGTCAGTGGTGGTGACTGTTCACATACAGCACCCTGCTGCCACTGCCGCTGCCTGTGCAAGTTGATATCCTGTGGATCCCCCGGGCTGCTGCGGTGAAACTTAGGAGGAGAATGAGGAGACGCTCACTCGCTCATGTTTGCCTGCTCACTGTGGCTGTGCGTAGAAGAAACCCCTTTCTCCCTGCTTGCCCTTCCTTCCTGCTTGCCGATCCCCCAGGCCTCTGTGGTGAGACAGAGGAGGAGCATGAGGAGACGCTCTGTCTCATGCGGGCAGAGCAATACGACATGACCCACATGTTTGCCCACTCGCAGTGTCTCCCATGCACGCAGTGCACTACGACACATGGCCTACATGTTCACCTTCTCAATACAGCTGTGCCGATAAAAAACCCCTATCTCCCTGCTTGCCCTTCCTTCCTGCTTTCTGCGGTGAGACAGAGGAGGAGCACCAGGAGACGCTCTCTCTCATGCGCGCAGTGGGATACGACATGGCCTACATGTTTGCCTACTCGCTTCGCCTGTGCCCCACTAATCCCTTCCTCTCTGCTTGCCTTCCCCACCCGACTTCCCATGCTGCTGCCGCCGCTCCTGTGCCGCCAATGCTGCTGCAGGCTTCTGCGGTGAGACAGAGGAGGAGCACCAGGAAACCCCCTCTCTCATGCGTGCAGTGGGATACGACATGGCCTACATGTTTGCCTACTCACTGTGTCTGTGCCTAGAAGAAACCCCTTTCTCTCTGTTTGCCTTGCTTTCCTGCTTGTCGCTCCCCCAGGCTTCTGCGGCGAGACAGAGGAGGAGCACCAGGAGACGCTCTCTCTCATGCGTGCAGTGGGATACGACATGGCATACATGTTTGCCTACTCGCTGCGCCCGCGCACACACGCCCACCGGCGGCTAGAGGACGATGTACCGGAGGAGGTGAAGCAGCGGCGGCTGAGTGAACTCGTGACCACGTTCCGGGAGACAACAGCTGCCCGATACACAGCTCAGGTAAGGCCCTATCCGGTTTCCTTGCCGCATACACCATACCTACTTTGTAAACCCGTGCACGCACGCCCACCGGCGGCTGGAGGATGATGTACCGGAGGAGGTGAAGCAGCGGCGGTTGAGTGGACTCGTCTCTACCTTTCGGGAGACCACATCTGCCAGATACGCGGCTCAGGTAAGGCCTTGTGCATGCATCCCCAAGGGTGTGGTGTATCTCAGATACACCGCTCCTGGCAGACACGGGTGCATGCCAGACCTGCCACACCTGGTTGTTTGTGGTGTGCTACAGGTGTGCTCGAGGACATCAATTGAGACTTCTCGAAAGCAACTCCTCAAGGGCGTCACATCCCTGCCAGACGCAACTGTATCTGCCTTATACACTCCACATATTCAGCTTTGCAAGTCGGTTGAAGAGGCAGGGCACTGCCAGGCACAACTGAATTTGTGCCTCATGCACTTGGGAGGCCCTGGCTACTTCCCTCCACCTGCTGGAACGTTTCACCTGCACCAGTTGCTACCTACCTCACTGCCACCTGCCTGTACCTTGCACTCGTTCTCAGCAAGCACCCCTCCACTCACAGAGCTGATTGGAAAGACTGATTTGGGCCATCGAGCTGTTTTCAAGGCGCCGCAAAAGCACTCTCCATCGCGGCCCATATCCTTTTCTGTTTTCTCTCTTCTCCAGGTGGGAACCAAGCAGGTGGTGCTCGTGGAGGGTCCCAACAAGCGCTCTCCACTCACAGAGCTGATTGGGAAGACTGACCCGGGCCACCGAGTGACCTTCAACAACTCCCTCCACCAGCATTTGACAGCGGCGGACAGGAAACACAAGGGTTCTTCGCTGGACTTGGAAAGTGGGGGGGGTGGGGGTGGGGCTAGTAGGGGTTCAGCTGGAGGGGGGGTTGCGAGCACTGGTGATTATGTGCTTGTGGATATTTGTGGCTCCACACATGCTTCCCTTCGAGGGGTTTTGTTAGGGAAATGTGACATATCAGGGAAGCTTATTTGATGAAAGTACTGTTGTGCATTAACCTCCGTGACCGAAGTGGCTCAAAATGGTTTTTTTTTCAAGGTTTTTGTGGGAATGTGGATGCCAAAAACTGATGCGTTACGAGTGCAATTGGGCGAGCGAGCAAGGATTGCACTATCGAGGCAAATATTACAATGTAAGCAAACTGTGCAATATTACAATGTGCAGACGGGACCGGGCCTCTGGGGGCTTCCTGCATACATGGTGGGGAGACCGGGTGTCAGAAAGGTGATTGAGCGGGTGTCGAATCAGATGGAGGAATCGGGTGGCAATTACGAGTTGCTAATCGCGAGACTGAACGCGGGGCTCAAGGCTTACGCCAGAGAGGAGAGTAAGAGGGTTCGCGCCACGTTGTCCTTTCTTCATCAGGCGGTTGCTGATCTGAAACAAGCGTGGCTGGGGGACCCGAGTTGCGTCCGGCTCAAGGACCTGCTGAGTGAAAGGGAGCTCCAACTGAGAAGCTATCAGCAGTCGCGGCAGGAGAGACTGCACGTGATGGCCGGTATGAAGGAGGTGACGTTGGGGGAAGTCGCATCACCTTTTTTATCTGCGAAGATTAAGGGCCGGAAGGCACGCACGCAAATCACGGAGTTAAACGTGGGAGGCACAATGGTTAGTGACAACAAAAGCATTTTGGATGCAGCCTCACAGTACTACCGGCAGCTGTTTGGAGCAGACAGACAGACGGTCTTATCTGAGTGGGAACCCTCGGCGGACAGAAGGATGTCGTCAGCAGTGGCGGAGTCGCTGACAGCTGAGTGGTCGGAAGAGGAGGTTAAGCGCGCGTTTCAGTCGATGACGAAAAATAAGGCTCCTGGTCGGGACGGCTTGCCAAAGGAGCTCTTTGAAGCGCACTGGGACATCTTGGGCAAACACTTCATGTTGCTGGTGAAAAGCTTCTCGGACACGGCGTCCCTTCCAACCTCCACGAAAGACGCGGTGACCATCCTGCTGCACAAGAAAGGGGGCAGAGATCAGCTGGAGAACTACCGTCCAATCACATTGCTCAGTTTCACCTACAAAGTGATAGCGCGTGTGGTAGCAGACAGGATGAAGAAAGCGCTCTCGGAGGTCGTCTCACCGGAGCAGTTTGGCTTCTTACCCGGGAGGAGGTTGTCGGATGCTGTGGGGCTGGTGGCGGATATTATTGAAGCAGCCAAAAACAAGGACAAAGATTGGTACCTCCTGCTCGTTGACTTCAGGAAGGCCTTCGACTCTGTGTCGCGGGGATTCCTGTTTACGGTGCTGGAGAAGATGGGTTTTCCTCCCCGATTTGTCGGATGGATTCGGGGCCTGCATGAGAACACACGGACAAGTCTGTTGGTTAATGGTTGGATTGGTGAAGCGGTCGATGTGGTCTCGGGGGTGCGCCAGGGCTGCCCCCTTGCACCTTACCTGTTTTTGTGCGCGGTGGAGCCGCTAGCGCAAGAAGCGGTGAACCGGAGGATAGGCGTTTCCGAGGGTGATCAGCGGCTGGCGTACCTTGGGTACGCCGACGATACAACTCTTATCCTGGAGGGGGAGGTGCAGATTGCAGAGGCAGAGAAGCTGTTAGAAGAGTTTGCAGGGGAGTCAGGTCTCGCCACTAACAAGGAGAAGTCAGTTGTCTTACCTCTGGGGTCGAATCTGGGCAGGCAGCCCTGGAAGACCGATGGTTTCAAATGGGCGAAAGCCGATGAGGCAGAAAGGCTGCTGGGGGTGTGGGTGACTCCTGCTGGAAGCTGCAATCCTACATGGGAGAAGGCTTTCGCACAGATTAAGCGGAAATTGTCGCAGTGGGAGGCGCAGCACCTTACAACTGGCGCGCGTGCTGCGGTGATCAACTGCTACGTCTCACCGATAATCTTCTTTCAGGCTCAGGTGTACCCGCCGCCGATGGATATCTGGGGGAGGATACTGAAACTGACGCACAATTTCATGTCGGGAAACCGGGCCTCTACCGACAAGGAATTGATACTGTGGAGCAGAGAGCTGCTGTACATGGCCAGGGAAGAGGGGGGCGTCGGTGTGAAGGACCCTGAAATTGCACTTACCTGCTTAATTGCCAGGAAGATCGGGCTGCTGCTCACCGAGACAAACGCGCTGAAACGCGACATCATGCTCCAAGCTGCGGACCTGCCGCTGGGAACGGACACTTTCGTCGCCCACGTGAAGCTGCTCAAATGCTGGCGCAGGAAAAGCGAGCGGTGGAAGCTTGCGTGCGCTAACTTCATGCAGTCGCCGCTCGCCAGCACGTCGCTTGAATTATCACGGGAGGAAGCTGCGAAGGAACGGATCGTTTTCAACCGCCATATCCTGATGAATGGCACGACTCCAGTGGGCAGCCAGAAAGCCGCAGGAAAATTGTGGGAGGTGCGTCTGGGTAACCTGCTGGTCGCGGGTGAGGACGGGGGCTGGTGTGTGAAGGATGTCAAAACCCTAGCGAGGGAGCTCGGTGGCTCGAAGCAGGCAAAGCTTGCTCTACGGGCGTGGGAGGCTGCACCGCAGAGCTGGAAACTGCTTCTCCTCTCAGCCGAGCAATCCTGTGCACCCACCACCCAGCTCCGCACTCCGCTACAGCGCACAGCGGCTTTCAGTGGTGGGGGGATACCATCGCTGAAGGAGTTGAAGGGGAACTGGCAACAGTCGAAACATCAATCGGCCAAACGGGAGCTCTGGGCGGGCAGATGGGCAGGAGCCATTGCCTGGAAAAGGGTTGTGAAAATTCGGGACTCGCCGGTGACGCCGAACCGACCGCGGGATGTGCTGCTGAGAATTCACAGTCTCAACCTTCAGGTGGGCGAACGGCTTTCCTTCCTGAGTGGAAAGCCGGTCTGCCCGCATTGCGGGGAGTTTGAAACTCTGGAACATTGCCTCTACACCTGTCCAAGGATCCAGACGGTTGTGGGGGCAGTTCGGAAGGCTCTGCGCATGCTGAATCCGACGAGGCATGTTGACAGCTTGGGTGACCTACTGTTTGGCAACACTGCTTCCACCTCAGCTTTTCCGGAAGCATCTCTCTCGGCAATCGCAATACACCAGATTTGGGCAGAACGGTGTGATTGCGTGTTTCGAGGCAAGAGGTTTCGGGCCAGGCGGGTGCTGAGGAGGATTGAAGCAGCTTTCAGGCTCCATGTGCGGGTGTACACTCGGGCAACAGGGATAAAGCTGAACATGAAGGGTGACTTGAGGCAGGGCGGGAAGACATACGCGCTGGCAGAACAGGAGGGTCGGCTCCTTGGACGTGTCCGGTCTCTGAATGGCAAGGGCTGGAAATGGTCCCATCGCTTTGGCGCGCTGTGGAATCTTGCGCGAGGGGCACTGCATCCCCCTTAGAGTCGTCCCCTGAGGCTGGCACGCTGCCGGGCCTCTCACGCTCAGTTACGACTGATATATGTTTGTATGCACTAGCATCATCGGTGTATATCTTAACATATTTAAAAAAAAAAAACAATGTAAGCAAACTTCAAACAGTTAAATAATGGTGGCGGTAATGTGCAAATTGTTAGGGCCCTGACCTAGTTGCAATGTGGTTTGGAAGTAGGGTCGGTGTGAGGGTAAATACGTCGTGAGGAGTGAACTAATACCTCCTCCATACTGATTCCCATTGATAAAAGTTTCGTTATTCGTTAGTGCGCGCACTCCAATCCACAACTCACAACACTCACCTTCCCTCCTGGGTGTCAGACTTCCTGTCGTTTCTGACACATTTGTCGCGCTTCGCCAGTGTGCTTCTTGTTCCATCATCGCCAACGCCCACGATTTACAATCGCCTCATCCACTTTGGATGAGCGGTTGCGATCTCGTCAGCATCCCACCAAAAGACAACAGCTCCACTGAACGCCCATGGCAATCTCGGTTGTGCCGACCCCAGTTAGGCGGGTCATTCATACATTTGGTTCAGGGAATCAGGGCTCGCTTGACGCGTTGTAATACGGTCTGCCACAGTTGGAAGAGGTGTATTCCGCTCACCGTGTTGGTAGTCGTGGTGAGCATCTGAATCAGCCTCTCCAATCAATTTGTTCCAAAAATGACTCATTCTAGGCTGCGGTGATCTCAAGGTTGCATTGGTAGTGCTGGTCGGTGCCTGACAAAACCTCGTATTTCACTCAGCCTCTCTGGATAACTTCTTGTTTGCGAAAGCCAGACATAAGCTGACATAAGCTGGACACGGGAGGGAGTACGTTTAGAGAGAGCAAGAACAGCCTCGGCCCGCCATTCGCCTCTGCATCAGCCCATTGATACTCCTTGCGTTGGGGGTCCGCCATGGATCCCGTACAGGCTTTCGCTGACCTTATCGGCACACCCCGTCCAGCCGCGACTTTCCTGCTAGCTAGCTTCGCGTTCGTGCCGATCGCATGGATTCATAGGTTCATCTCCTCGCCTACACTCCGCCATCTGTACTGCACAGTAACGGGACTGCTTTTATCGGCGTTCGTGTTCGGATGGACGGCGTACGCGCACTTCTTCGCGTGCATTCTCTACTCCATGGCCGTAATGCGCCTGTTTCGGAGAAATTGCGGCGTCCTAACGTTCTTCGGAACGTTCGCGTACTTGATCGGATGGTAAGTTTCCCGCCCGTCTTTCCGCCCGGCATTCCCCGCGTCAAGCTTCCTTAACTCACCACCGTTCAGCATGTGGATTTCTCATGCTCAGATCTTCCGTTTCTCACGTGCATTTTTTAGTCGTTGGAGGTGATTCGTCTTTTGAGTCGACTCAACATTCAGCATGTGCAATTCTCACGTTCGTCACGTGCATTTTCCCTCCTTCGATGCGATTCGATCCGACCTCCTCCAGCCACATCATCATGCGGACCCACGAGACCCGCACGGAGGGCGTGCTCGACTGCACAGGCGCGCTCACCGTCCTCGCTACAAAGCTCACCGCTGTCGCGTATAACTACCAGGACGGGCTCACGCTGCTCAAGGAGAAGGACCAAGGCGCGAAAGCCAAGGACGAGACGGAGAAGAAGGAATTAACCGAGGAGCAGAGGCGGCGCGAGGAGCGGATGGAGCGTTCGCGATTGGAGCGGCGAAAGGCGGCGCTGGTTACCATGCCGTCGCCGCTGGAGCTGTTGGGGTACCTCTTCTGCTTCGGGCTGCACATGACGGGCCCGTTCTTCGAGTTCAAAGCGTACGACGACTGGACCCGCCGACAAGGGGTACGCACGTGCATATATGCATATCCCCCTCGACGAGGGGTACGCATGCTCATCTCTAGGTTTGAGGCGCCTCACAACTAGCTGTTGGGGTACTGTTTTGAGGCGCCTCCGTCCCTGGAGCTCCCGGGGCACCTGTTGTGCTTCGGGCTGTGTTGACTTCTGAGTCGACTCAAAGTCAACGCGGGCTGCACATGACGGGCCCGTTCTTCAAGTTCAAAGCGTACGACGACTGGACCCGCCGACAATGGGTACGCATTCTCATCTGAACTCGATGCGCGTGTATATGTGCATAACCCCCTCCGCGACTGGACTTGAAGTGGATGCGCGTATCCGCATCACTGGGCTGTGCTGTGACGTGACGCCACATGCATATACGTATCCCCCTCTCGGCTGATCGTCGTTCTCGTGGTTCATATTCGTATACGCACCCGTTCGCCCTTCCGCCATTCTCCTGCGCGCTCGTTCTAAGCGTCATTTTCCGCTCTCCTCTCCGCACTCTTCTCTCTGTTCCCATCCATCCCCCTCCTCGCCACCTGCAGATCTGGTCCCCAAGTCTCAAGCAGCCGTCCGTCCTCCCCGCGTTCTTCCGCGCGTTCGGTTCAGGGCATCCTTGCAGCGATAGCCTCACTCTTCTGTCTGTTCCCATCCACCCCCTTCCCATCCACCCCCTTCCCATCCACCCCCTTCCCATCCACCCCCTTCCCATCCACCCCCTTCCCATCCACCCCCTTCCCATCCACCCCCTTCCCATCCACCCCCTTCCCATCCACCCCCTTCCCATCCACCCCCTTCCCATCCACCCCCTTCCCATCCACCCCCTTCCCATCCACCCCCTTCCCATCCACCCCCTTCCCATCCACCCCCTTCCCATCCACCCCCTTCCCATCCACCCCCTTCCCATCCACCCCCTTCCCATTCACCCCCCTCCCCTGCAGATCTGGTCCCCGGGTCTCAAGCAGCCGTCCGTCCTTCCGGCGTTCTTCCGCGCGTTCGTGCAGGGCATCCTCGCAGCTCTTGTCTTCCTGCTCGTGTCGCCCTCGCTGGACCTCACGCGCATCAGCGACCTGCGCAAGAACCGCGCGTACCCCTTCCACCTGCGCTGGCTGTTCGCGCACCAGGCCAGCATCGTGTGGCGCTTCCGCGCGTACATCCTCTGGAGCATCACCGAGGCCGCCATGGTCGTCGGCGGGCTGGGCTTCAGTGGCTGGGAGACGCCGAAAAAGGGGGGGGAGGCTGGGAAGGGCGGGGCTGGGAAGGGGGAAGCGGAGGGGGCGAACGGGGGTGGGAAGGGTGGTGATGGGGGGAAGAGGGAGGGTGATGAGACGTGTGCGGCGCCTGGAGGGGAGGGGGAGGGGGAGGGGAAGGCGCTGTGGAATAGAGCGCGGAACGCGGATATTCTGGGGTTCGAGTTCCCCAAGAGCTGCCTCGACTTCGCCACCACGTGGAACATCTCCTACGGCCTCTGGCTCCGGCTGTGTGAGTTCCCTGCTCTCTGGCTCCGGCTGTGTGAGTTCCCTGCTCTCTGGCTCCGGCTGTGTGAGTTCCCTGCTCTCTGGCTCCGGCTGTGTGAGTTCCCTGCTCTCTGGCTCCGGCTGTGTGAGTTCCCTGCTCTCCCCCTCATCCCTGCTCTCTATCAGCCCGTGGCAACCCCTCATCCCTGCTCTCTGGCTCAGGCTCTGTGAGTGCACACCGCACTGCACCTGCACCTCCACCTCGCCACCGCTGTGGATCTCCATGCTCGCCATGCTTCATGCTTCAATATCCATTCTTGTCCGCTACTTCCCCGTGCCACCCTGATAACTGCCCACCCCTGGCCTCTTGCTCTTGTCCCTCCTCACACGTGTATGAGCGCATGGTGCCGCCCGGCAGGAAGGCAACCTTTTTCCACATGCTCGCCACCATGTTTCATTCTCACCACCCCCCACCCGCTCTGCCCCCATACCCCATGCTTCATTCTCAACCCCTGGCCTCTTGATCTTAATCCCTCCTCAGACGTGTACGAGCGCATGGTGCCGCCCGGCAGGAAGGCCACCTTTTTCCACATGCTCGCCACCATGTTCGTCAGCGCCGTCTCCCATGTGAGTTTCACATGCTCCCTTGCCTCCCTCTCATGTGGGTTCCTCTTAACCCCCCTCCCGCCCATGTGCGTTCCCCCTCCTTACCCCCTCCTCCCATGTGCGTTCCTCCTTACCCCCCCCCCCCCATGTGCGTTCCCCCTCCTTACCCCCTCCTCCTATGTGCGTTCCTCCTTAACCCCTCCCCCCATGTGCGTCCTTCCTTACTCCCTCCCATCTGCGTTCTTCCTATTGCATCCCATGCTTCGCTCGCCCATGTGCGTCGCCCCTAGCCCCATGTGCGTCGCCCCTAGCCCCATGCGCGTCGCCCCTAGCCCCATGCGCGTCGCCCCTAGCCCCATGCGCGTCGCCCCTAGCCCCATGCGCGTCGCCCCTAGCCCCATGCGCGTCGCCCCTAGCCCCATCTGTACGCTCCCTTGCCGTCCCTCGCAAACATCACCCCTGCGTCGTTCTCTCCTCTCCTGCCCCCTTTCTACGTCACCTCACTCTCATGCAAGCACCTAAACCATCATTCCTCAGAAAGGCATAGGATAGGCCATCCGTACATACAGGTCTCACACTTACTGGTCTTGGCACCACAAATGCTAGCTCTTAACAATCACTGCAACTTGCAACGATTCGTGTATATTGGCCTTGGTTTCATCAAGAGCAAGCTCCCCACTGGTTCATGGCGCGGCAGGACAATCTGCAGCCATATTGCTGTGTTTCACTCACATTCTCTGCCTCCAGTCATTCGTTAGTTTCAGAGCTGTGCTTTCCTCCTCAGAATCGCCCAACTGTGTGCACGTTTTCCAACACCGTACTCCTTTCCTTTGAGTCGTGGTGTGTTTTGAGTCGACTCAAAACTCGGAATCGCCCAAGTGTCTGCACGTTGCCCAACACTGTACTCTTTCCTTTGGTACCTGCAGGGCCTGAATTGGGGCGACTTCATCTTCTTTGCCAACTGGGCGCTTGTCGTTGCCAGCTCCAAAGGTGTGTGCACACTTTCCTGAACACCCATCGTTATCTTGAGCAATGGAACTAGAGTGTTTCGGAAACAGGAATTGAAGCATATGCCAAACCCCACATTATGCTAAACCCCACATTCTGTAGAAATTATGATGACAGTGTAGTTTTCCCCTGCATTACCATTCTTGTGCTTCCGTCGCATTCCCACTCCCTTTTCTATATTTTCTAAGCCCGTTTCTTTTTCACTTCCTGTTCTCATGGTCATTCCCATTCGCCTACCCATCCATATCCATTTTCCATTCCTACTCCCATTACCACTTCCATCACCTTGTCATTCCTATTCCGAAACACATTTACCCAGTCTCCGCTGTGCCTTCATACCCCTGTGTCCCCGCTGTGCCTTCATACCCCTGTGTCTCCGCTGTGCCTTCATACCCCTGTGTCCCCGCTGTGCCTTCATACCCCTGTGTCTCCGCTGTGCCTTCATACCCCTGTGTCTCTGCTGTGCCTTCATACCCCTGTGTCTCTGCTGTGCCTTCATACCCCTGTGTCTCCACTGTGCCTTCATACCCCTTCACCCGGGGTCGTCAGCTCCTGCTTACTTCCCCTTCAATGCACCTTCTCCAGAGTGATTCCCCCTCTCCTTCCCACTTTTCCTCCCTATCATGCAGCCATCTACCAGCTCACTGCGGGAATCCCCAAGGGCACCACCACGCACTGCTGCAGGTTGATCATTAAATTTCTCAAAATTTATTCATTAAATTCCCCTCTCCTGCCCTTCATCTCTCTTCCCTCCTTCGCATGCAGCCATATATCAAATCACTGCAGGAATCCCCAAGGGCACCATCACGCACCGCATTGTTGCGCTTCTTCACACCCTCTACGGCATCTTTGTCTGCAGCTACATGGCCAGCGCCTTCTGTGTAAGTGTGTCCGTTTTCAGTCATTTTTTAGTCGATTCAAAAGGCGTAATGAGTCGACTCGAGAGTCGTTTTGTCTGCAGCCACATGGTCAGCGCTTTCTGCCTAAGCGCGCGTGTTTTACTACCTTTTCCATGACTTTCTATCTAGTAAACTCTGCTACAGTGCAGTCATCTGTACCTCACTCTGGGCCTCTATGCTGCCCACTCCTTTCTGCTCATTGCTTTTGCCTCCTTTGTGCGTGTTTGCTATGTACCGTATGTTCATGGTGCAGGTGATGACGCTATCGGGCGCATTTTCAGCCTACAGTGGCATGTACTATACTGGTACTGTCATTCCAATTTTCCTGATTGTTTTGTCAATGGTGTACAAGCCCCGCCGCCCGAAGACTGTCAAGACAGAGTAAACCATGGCAGCTTCTCGAGGGGCATTAGCACTCCAGTACAGCCTATCTATGCACTACGTAGTCAAGTTGATTCAGGTTAATGCCAGATCCATATGAAATTTTACATCAATTTATTCATCCTCCAGTTGTTATAGCGTAAGTTGTCATACACGTTTTCACTTATACCTCCAGTTCATCAATGACACAATATACCGCCTTGAATGACAGTGCGAGTATAGGTGCAGCGCAGCCGCAATAATGACGAAAAGACTAACAATCTGAGGATGCGCATATATGGAGAAAAGCATGGGAAAATGAAACCTGGAACATGGAGAAGCATTTTTTTAAGGGTGTACCATAAGATTGAGCATTCTTAAATACATGTTACCTATTTATGGAAAAACCCGATTCGGTTTAGGTCCCTAAAGCGGAGAGCGCAATTGTAGACATGTTGGGATGGATTGGACCACGTCAACATTTGCTATTGGTAGGACCGATTACGCAGATCCACATCACATATTTGGTGATCTTCCACCCTCGAAACCAACCTATCCGAGCTCATCCAGCAGCTCAGGCGATCCCGAGTTAATCCGGATTACGGGCCACACGCCACTCGGGCCCAGCCAACCACCAACCACATCAGCTTGCTGCACTTTGCCCACCCAACCCCTCCCAACCGTTTCGGACCGCACATTCCTGCAATTCACCCCCCCCAATCAGTTCCACCAATGCCAAATCGCCAACATTGAAATACCACTTTCACTACCTACTCTCGTCAAGTCAGCCGCAGTTCGATCAGCAGCAGACTTCCCAAATTCTCCAGGAACCCCTCACAGCTACTAGCTGTACCTTAATCGCAGTAGACAATGGCCGCTCTCGCCAACGCCGCTGTGCTCCCGTCCACCTTCATCGGCCAGAGCGCTGAGCTCGCCGCCAAGGTGAACAATGTCGAGGCCCGCGTCACCATGAGGAAGACCGCCAAGGCCGCTCCCAGCAGCGCCTTTGTCGAAATACTAGGCAAGAATCAGAAACAGGAAAGAGGGGTTTTCACTCGCAGTAGTTGAGATACATTTAGGAAACCCTAATTGGGTTGTACTCGCTATAGAGTATCCCACTGCAGGCTAGACAGACATCACATTCTGACACACCCCCATAGTCAAAATGGGGTATAATCAGCACAACAAGCAGGCAAAGCAATAGTTCACAAGGATAAGCAAAGCTAGAGGCTATCACAGAGGGCAAGTGAGGAGGAGGAGAAACTGTGGGGGGCGAGAAGATGGGAGGCGATGGCTGAAGCTGCAAACACATTGGCAACAGGAGTGCGCAGCACTGACGCTACCAGGCGCAGAGCCCCGGACTACACGGCAACAGGCGCAGCTGGCTCTCTGTGCTCCCACGAGTGCTCACACTGTGGGTACCAGGCGCAGAGCCCCGGACTACACGGCCACAGGGGGTCGTGGCTCTCTGGACTACCAGGAATGCTCACATAGTGGCTACCAGGCGCAGAGCCCCGGACTACCCGGCTACAAGGGGTTGTGGCTCTCTGGACTTCAGGCGCTGCGGACGACAAGTCGGCTACCTCCGGTCAACCTCCCCCAACTGTCCCACACCCCTTTCACACACTCCCTCCTGAACCTCTAGCACTGCTCACACGCCACCCCCCTCGTACCACTCCGACGGCTCCAACACATCCACCCCCCTCAGCGGCAGCTGCAGCAGTGGGAGATGGAGGAGGAGGCGGAGTAGGGGACGGCTCACACACCCGGCACCCCCATACTCTCCACCCCCAAACCCTAACGCAGGAGCGCGGGCAGCAGCGGGGGTGGGGCGCGGTCTTAAGCTCGAGGGACGGCGTGCGACACAGGGGCAGACTGTACGGGCCGCGCACGGGCCTGGCGCAGGCGGACCGAACCGCGCGCGGGCTGCCCGGGCCGCGCGCGGGTTTGGCGCAGCCCATACGGGCCGCGCGCGGGCCTGGCACAGGCCGTATGGGCTACGCGCGGGCTGAACGGGCCGCGCGCGGGCCTGACGCAAGTCGCGCGGGCCGCGTCGGGCGACGGGGGGCGACGCGCGAGTCACCGCGGCAGGAAACCGCCGCGCGCTCCCGGGGCGCGCGGCGGGCAGGGCAGAAAACCGCCGCGCGCCCCGAGCGCGCGGCGGGAAGAAAAAACACTGCGCATTCCGAGCGCACAGCAGAAAGAAACAACGCGCGCCCGGGGCGCGCTACAGGCAGTAGAGCAGCGGAAGCAACGGGTGGGGCCACCCACAGGATCGACCCAGGTGGGTCGACCTGCTCTGATATCATTTCGAAATACTAGGCAAGAATCAAAAACAGGAAAGAGGGGTTTTCACCAGCAGCAGTTGAGATACATATAGGAAACCCTAATTGGGTTGTATTCGCTATAGAGTACCCCACTCCAGGCTAGACAAACATCACATTCTGACAGCCTTCTACGGCCCCGACCGCAACATGTTCCTGGGCCCCTTCTCCTCCCCCCCGTTGTGCCTCACCGGTGAGTATGCCGGCTACTACGGCTGGGACACCGCGGGTCTGCCCGCTGACCCCGAGACCTTCGCCAAGAACCGTGAGTTGGAGGTACGTTGCTTGCAGCGATTTCAATGTATGAAATTTCAATCTTGATGCAGCTGTTTCGAATGTAACGATTCTTATGTGTCTTTGATGTGTTGAGTGAATTCAAATTTCCTTCTTTGCTGTACGTACCACCAGGTGATCCACGCTCGCTGGGCTCTTCTCGGTGCCCTCAGCTGCCTCACCCCGGAGCTCCTCGCCAACAACGGCGTCGAGTTCGGCGAGGCTGTGTGGTTCAAGGCCAGTGCCCAGATCTTCTCCGAGGGCGGCCTTGACTACCTCGGCAACCCCAGCCTGATCCACGTGCAGTCTATCCTGGCCATCTGGGCCACCTAGGTCATCCTCATGGGTGCCGTCGAGAGCTACCGCATTGGTGGCCTTGAGGGCTTCCAAGAGGTTGAGGACCCCCTGTACCCCGGTGGTGCCTTCGACCCCCTGGGTCTGGCTGATGACCTCGATGCCCTTGCTGAGCTGAAGGTGAAGGAGCTGAAGAACTGCCGCCTCGCCATGGTGTCAATGTTCGGATTCTTCGTCCAGGCCATCGTCACCGGCAAGGGCCCCCTGGAGAACCTGTCCGACCATCTGGCTGACCCCACCGTGAACAACGCCTGGGCAGGGCTCTCGTTATCTGACCAAATTGGTCTTATGGTCTGATTTTCAGACGTAGATTTTCGCTTTCATCTGATCTCTAAGACGATGCTTTTTATTTCGTCTGATCCGTAAGATGACTGATTTTAGTTCATCTGATATTTCAGAGCAAGCTCTTTACTTAGTCTGAAATTTCAAAGAACGAGTTGTTTTTCGTCTGATACCGACCCCCCTCCCCCCAACCCTCCCTTTCCCCCCCGATCTCTCGCTACTCTACCAGCTCAGCCCCCCCTTCTATGCCCTCGTTCCTCTTCCAGGCCTAGTCCTGTCCAACCCTTCTCCCCCTTTCCCCAAGCTGAGGTTTCTCCAGGTCTCGCTCCCAGCCTAGCCCGCTTTCATGCCCCTCGTAATGTCTCGCAGCCCAGCCCCCCCTTCCCTTCGCGTCCCTCCACCTCCACCCACCCTGATCCCTCGCGTCGCAGCCCCTCATTGTCATGTGCGTGCCCCTCAATAGCCACACAGCGATCTGTCAGCACCGCGCCAGGGGCGTGTTCATTAACAAAACAAGCGTGATTATGTTAGACAAGTGTGTTAGCTAAATCAGACTGTGCAAATTGAATTGTATGAAGAATCAGACTAAGCTTTAACATTCGTCCAAAAAATCAGACCAAAAAAATAGGCCCGTCTGAACGTCAGACGGAACAGTTTTTTTGCTTAGGTATGTCAGACAGGCCCAAATCCTAGCAAGAGCCCTGCGCCTGGGCCTATGCCACCAACTTCACCCCCGGCGCTTAAGCGTGTTTCTAGCTTTGGTGTATAGGTGCTCTTCATTGTAAGCATCTGTTACTGAACTAGTAGCCATGTTTTCGTTCATACCCCTCGTCAAGAAGCAATGCCTACGGCTCGCACATAACAAAGCCTATGGCTCGAATGAACCTTACCAACGCATAACGATTGGAGCTCACGCTGTTGCTTGACAGTAAAAATTGGCCTCGGCCCTATCCTTGAACCGTGCTATCTATGAAAACTACTCACATGATTTAGAAATGTTCGATGGTCTTTTACCTGTCAGCCTTTCATAAACCTGCCAGAGCAGAGTGACTGCCTTTTGTCTACCATACGTGAACTCTCCAAATTCTTGTCCCTATTCGAAGCTTTTCTGTATGTCCGTACTTTAGGGACTGCACCATCGGTCCACAGCTCTTCTAACTCCTCTCCTTCCGAATCAATGAATTTGGACTACGCTTGTTGCAACTCAAACTTCCAAATTCATTGTGTGCGTGCATGCTGGTTAGTGCAATTTCTTTAAATACTGGTAATACAGTACCACCATATGCTCCTGGACTTTATTCTGATTCTTTTGTTATTGCCCCAAGGCTTACTTATTCACTTGTTTTCATTTAGATCATACTAACAGGAGTAATAATGTCCACCATTTGGGTAGGCCTGGTTGGTTGCCGTATAGGAAAAATCTTTATCGACCTTTAGCTGATGTTAAGCACCGGCAGAAAAAAAAGGGGGTGACTTATATCGGGGAAAATATGGCACTACCCTGACCTCATGTTGGTTTATGCCTCGTGCACAAGCCCTCCGATATCAGCGTAAATCACGCTGATTACGCTGATTTTGTAGCTCTGATTTCCGTTTTCCCTGAAAAATCAGTATATGCCTCATTTTTGCACTGTAATTTCAGTATTTGCAATTTTGCCACATTGACCATTTTGCTTGTTTCAGAATAAGTAACACTAACGAATCAGTATACTTCAGCGAGTCACACTGAAACGGACTTGACCGCCCAGGGGGGGGGGGGGGGGGGACGCGTTAACAGACTGTACCTTCCCACGAAACCCCACCCCACCCACACACTTGGAATCTTTTCACATGCGCTGTACTTACAGCATGTGCGCGCCGAACCGTTTTGCCTCGCTGGAAGCCATCACACCAGAGTACGATGATCCTAGTTCAACAACTGCCCAATGAGAACACAAACAGCACACCACTGCTGGCACGGTCCACACCAACACGCCATAAAATATGGCAGTGGGGTGGGTGGGGGTGTTGCCATCTTGCCTCGAAAGACGGAAACCCAAGACCACGATCCCTCGCCATGGCGGCTCGGGAGAGGGGGTACCCCCATCTGCTCCCTCATTCTGTTCCTGCACTCGTCGTGAACCCCTGCAGGAAGTGATGTTCGAGCTCACCCTGGCAGTAGCTTCCCTCTCAAGCTCAGCACGCTCAGCACAGCTGAGCAGCCATGGCGGATCCAACGCCCGCAGGTGACAACCCTGAATCCGTCCTAGCAACGAAGCCAGCCGCCCTTACTGGCCTAGACTTCTTACGACGAGCTTCAGCTGCTCCCGTGTTAGTCTCGCCATCAGCTCCTACCGTTGTTTTCCCTTCCTCGGGCCCTGAGGCACCTACCATCTGGACGCAGGGCGAGTGTTCGACGCATGCTGGCGCTGCCGCATTACCTCGTGTCGCTGCCGCATCAACTCCTGCCGTTGCCGCATCAACTCCTGACGCTGCCGCATCAACTCCTGACGCTGGCGCATCAACTCCTGACGCTGCCGCATCAACTCCTGCCGCTCCCGAACCCACACGAAATCGTCATCCTGTCGCTGCCGGAACTACTCGCGTCGGATCCCGTCTCAAAAGGGGTATCAAAGTGACGTACCGCCAAACAAAGATCAACTGGGGTGCCAGTCAAGCTACGCCAACGTCTGGTGTGGGGAACTCCTCCCCGGAGGCCCGACAACGTAAACAGAAGGGGAAAGCGGTTGAGGTTACCTTCGAAACAGAACTGCCCGACATAGCCGAGGAGAAATACCAGGATGCCTTATTTATGTTCAACAAACAGTGGTCTGACGACTATCTGTGGCTTGTTCTGTGTCAGACGAGTGCAGGGTTCCCGTCAATCAAGTGCTCGGTCTGCATTGCACACGGCGGTGTGGGCACGAACTTCGGCGCCAAAGGAGTAGGGGCGACCGATGTGCAGGCCCAGGCAATGCGGAAGCATCAACGCACAAGGAAGCACCGCCGCGCTCTGCGCAGACAGAGGACACCCGAGGCGGCGCTCAAAGCTAACCGCCTGATTGACGACAACAAGAAGGTGAAAGACGTCGAGAAGGAGCGCCTGCTCGCGCTATTTGAGATGGCACTCTTCATCGCTAAGTCCGACGCCCCGATCGAGATGTACGTCGACCTCGTCCAACATCTAGTGCAGCGTGGCACACCGGGCTTCCCAAAGAGCAGTTATGGTGCCTACTACACGACGTAAGTGACACTGCTCTAGTACATATCGTCGGGGGATGTGATATACGTGAAGCTATCACTAACCACACGCATTGATGCCCGTGCAGGTACGGATTTGAAGAGATCACCGCCGCAATAGCGACATACCTTCGTGCGCGCCAGAGAGAATTCATTGATTCGAGTCCATTCATTGGTCTGAGCTGCGACGAGAGTACGGACCGCGTCAAAGGGAAGCACATGATTGTGTTTGTAACCTTTCTGCGTGAGCATGCCGTCACCACAGAGTTTCTGGCTAACCTCTCCGTCGAGAAGTGTGATGCAGCATCTCTTTATGCTAAGCTCACGGGATTCCTTGATAGTATTAGCCTGCCGCTGGAGAAGGTGGCGGGTATCAGCACCGATGGGGCACCTGTGATGATAGGCAAGGACACGGGCCTCGTTGGGCGTCTTCGATTGGAGATCCCGCACGTGGTGGCTTCTCACTACATCGCACACAGGTAAACTGTTGCTGTGGTTGTGTTGTTGCGGTATGAGATGTGAAACGTGGTATGTCGCAGTGCGAATTCTAACACCCCCACCTGTGTATTTCTACCCGTGGCAGGGAAGCGCTTGCTGCAAAGGAGGCGGCTAAGGCACTACCCGAGCTTGGCATAATCGACGCGGTTATCCGCGCAGTGGCGGAAGATCTCGGCAGATCCAGCAACTCCAACCGCAAGTTCAAGGAGCTGCAGGAAGTGTTCACGCATACCAACCTCGAGGTCCAGGGGATCCACAGCGTCCGCTGGTTGAGTCGCGGCGATGCAATCGCACGATTCGTACGCGTTCTGCCTGCTGTCATCGTTATGCTCGAGGAGTCGGACAAGACGATGTACCACTTAGTAACGTCGTTCAAGTTTCATTACTTCCTGTTCTTCTTGGCAGATGTGCACACGGCACTCAACGCGCTCAACCTGCTATCCCAGAAGCGACAGGTGAGTTGTTGAGTTCCGTTTTGCAGTTCTCTTCTTCTCCCAGGTACTTATCTTTTGTTTCGGTGTACCAATTCTCCCCCCACCAACAGGTCGACCTCACTGCACTGCACTCCCAGGTGAGGCGGACCATCATCTACATGGAGCAGAGGTACCTGAACTGTGGCCAGCAGTTTGGCGGTGGGACCAGCGAGCTGCTGTCTGCTTTCCTCGCGCGGCATGCCTCGCTCGACTGCCGTGAAGGGACTGTGGAAGGGGTGGACAAGGAAGGTCAGCCCCGTGTACACAAGTTCCAGCTGCACGAGGAGGCAGTCAAGGGATACACCACCAGCAGCGGGGACATGCAAGGCTGCTACACCTGCTGCCGCTCATTCGCCCGCGAGCTGGTGTACAACCTCGAGCTGCGCTTGGGAGACCTGACGCGCTTGAGCGGGGCGAAGCTCTTCATGCCCCGCTCGTGGCCGAGGGGCGTCGAGGCAAGAGACGCAGAGTGCAAGGAGCACCTGCACGGCCTCGTCCATCTGTTTCAGGCCAAGAACCGGGACACGATCTTGCCTGGTGAGCAAGAAATAGATCCCCACTGACCTGCGTGTATGTATTGCCGTTTCCGTGGTTGCGTTATTCCCATGTTGTGCGCTTTACTTTCTACCCTGGTTGTGCTCAACCCGTTTCGCAGGTGTCCAGAAGCGTGCGGCACGAGCGGAGCTGCGCACGTTCCTGCCGGTGCTCTCCACTGCCCCCAAGGAAGAGCAGCCCTTTCTCGCAGGTTTGAAGGCCATCTTGCAGACCAACGACTGGCAGACCAGCTACCCCAACTTAGTCCGTCTGTGGGCTGCGGTCGCTGTTCTGCCTCTCAGCACCGTCGAGTGCGAGCGCGGGTTTTCCAGCCAGAATGTGATCAAGCCGTGGCGCCGGACGAGTCTCTGCAACGCCAAGCTGGGAGATTTGCTGGCAATGAGTCTGCTCGACTACGACATGGAGTGGGATAAGGTGCTGGACATCTGGCAGAGCACCAGGAAAAGGCGCCCCAGCAAGCGCAAGGAGCAAGCTGCGCCAGAGAAGGAGCGGGCCAAGGCCAAGTTTGTTAAGGGGAGTGGCCGCCGGGTGGTGGAGGAGGAGGACCTAGACGAGGGCATGTGTGGTTCTGCAGGCGATGGCAGTGAGAGTGATGGTGCTGCTGTTTGTCACAATGGTAACTTTGGACGCATCCATGCACTGTTGCATCAGCTCTGCTTTTTTGGTTTTTTTACACTGCAGGTTCAGTTTTGGAAAAAAAATTACACTGACAGTATCAGTATAAAGAAAACCACCAACGCTGATTTGGACACCTGGTTGGCAGGGGCACGCTGATCCATCAGCATACCCTCAAACCAATCTGAGGGCCTACTCGTGCATCCATGCAGTTGCACATGTTTGTGGCTCTTGAACGACTATACTGGTCCCTGCAATTCCAAACAAGCATATTGTATGCAGCAGCTCCATGTTAGTCTGATTGCTCATGTTGCAGGTCCTCTCTCCGTCCTTCCTTGCCCTTCCAAGTTCGAACTCAGTGTTTCTCTGAGTGCCCGTGCTGCAGGACCTGCACCATGGCAGTTCCAGCTCCTGTCCTTCCAAGCAAACACTTGCTGCAACTCAAGGCTTGTCCGCATGCCAATGCTGCTGCAGGTCGAGCACCACTGACTCTCCCAAAAGCACACCCCTCCAACTCAGTGCTTATCTGCATGCCCGTGCTGCAGGTCGAGCAGCATCGCTCTTCCAACGCCTGTATTTCCAAATGATTGTTTTTGGACAACACTTGCTGCAGGGAGCAAGTCAGTGCTTGTCTGCATGCCCGTGCTGCAGGTCCTGCAACATCTGAGGCTCATCCCCTTCTCCTGCTGTAGCACCAACAGCAGATTTGTCAGTCAGTGCTTGTCTGTATGTCCGTGCTGCAGGTCCTGCACCATGGCTCTCACTGCCTTGCTGATCTGCTCCAACCGAGTTGCTCCCAGCACCATCTGGGCCTCCCCCTCTCCTCCTGCTGCACCCACAGCAGGCGTGTCAATTGCTGCGCCTCTTGCTTCGTCCACCAGGCTTTCCGACAGCAGCCGGTGCCTTGCTGCGTCCTGCAAGCGGGGAGAGGGGAGGGGTGTTACAAAGTGGGAAAACGATATCGCTCTTAGGACTCTAGCTGAGGCTTTCTGACAGCATCCAGTGACTTGCTGCATACTGCAAACGGGGAGCAAGGAGTGATACAAAATGGGAAAAAGATATCGCTCTTAAGAATCCAGCTTAGGCTTTCTGACAGCAGCTGTTGACCTTGCTGCTGCTGCGCCCAGCGCACGAGGAGAAAAGTGATTGAGCATGACGCTAGGGAGTAGAGAGCATGATACTATCGAGTAGGGAGCATGATACTATCGAGTAGGGAGCATGATACTATCGAGTGGGGAGCATGATACTATCGAGTGGGGAGCATGATACTATCGAGTGGGGAGCATGATACTATCGAGTGGGGAGCATGATACTATCAAGTGGGGAGCACAGGCCTTATTAGCTAGGTTTTCATGTTTGAAAATGGAAGCTAGACCACAATCTGAAGAGAGCAGAGGTGACTTTTGAGTCGACTCAAAAGTCGTCTAGTTTGAGGATGGAAGCTAGATCACAATCTGGAGAGAGCAGAGGGTAAGGAGGTGCTAACAACATGCCCAGCTGACCACTCGCCATGCTCTCACAACTCGCCATGCTCTCACAACTCGCCATGCTCACAACTCGCCATGCTCACAACTCGCCACGCTCACTACTCGCCATGCTCTCACTAATTGGCATGCTCTCACCAATTGGCATGCTCTCACCAATTGGCATGCTCTCACCAATTGGCATGCTCTCACCAATTGGCATGCTCTCACCAATTGGCATGCTCTCACCAATTGGCATGCTCTCACCAATTGGCATGCTCTCACCAATTGGCATGCTCTCACCAATTGGCATGCTCTCACCAATTGGCATGCTCTCACCAATTGGCATGCTCTCACCAATTGGCATGCTCTCAGCACCACTCACCATGCTCTCACCACCACTCACCATGCTCTCAGCGCTCACCATGCCTCGCTGCTCACCACTTGCTGCCGTGCTCTCACCACATGCTGCTGAGCCGATTTTCCCATAGAATTAAACATTGACTATGCCTCACCACTCACCACTTGCTGCTGAGCCTCACCACTCACCACTTGCCATGCTCTCACCACTTGACTTGATTGCCCATGTCTAATTGCTCACCACTTGCTGCTGAGCCTCGCCACTCACCACTTGCTGCTGAGCCCGGTCGCAGGCGGCTTGAAAGAGGTCCACTCGGCTCTGAAACACCTCCAGCGCTGATGCTACTGCCACCTCACTGTGCGGCCCACTGGAGCTGCTTATAAAGAGGACAACGATTGGAATTGGGAACATAGGTTCATGGGGAGAAGAAGAGGAGTACATGAAAAGGAAAGGAGGAAAACAAAAGTTCAATGGAGAAAAGGTGAACCTTTTTACGAATGCCATAGGGTTATGAGTGAGATAGCCTGAGTTAGAGCATAACGGAGGAGAGAGAGGTGGGGAGAGGGAGTGTGTGTGAGAGTAATGTGTGTACCCTGACTGTGCGTGATAACGAGGAGCCGATGAAGAGAGATGGGAAGAGAGATAGGAAGAGAGATGGGACGAGAGATGGGAAGAGAGATAGGAAGAGAGATGGGACGAGAGATGGGACGAGAGATGGGAAGAGAGATGGGACGAGAGATGGGACGAGAGATGGGAAGAGAGATGGGATGAGAGATGGGACGAGAGATGAGAGAGCAAGACCGAGGTAAGTGGGAGAGAGATGGGGAGAGGAGAGGCGAGGAGTGTGTGTGAGAGTAGCGTGTGTACCCTGACTGTGCGTCACTACGAGGAGCCGATGAAGAGAGATGGGGAGAGAGATGGGGAGAGGAGAGGGAAGGAGTGTGTGTGAGAGCAGCGTGTGTACCCTGACTGTGGGCACCACGAGGAGCCGATGAAGAGAGATGGGAAGAGAGATGAGGGAAGGAGAGGGAGGGGGCGAGTGGAGAGTAGCGTGTGTACCCTGACTGTGTGTCACCACGAGGAGCCGATGAAGCAGCCTCCACGAGCAAGGAGGCAGACGCGAGCACCTCCTGATCAGACAAGAGAGGATGGGAGTCAATGGGGGATGGGAGTCAAGGGGAGGATGGAATGGAAGACAAGGGAAAGATGGCAGGCAAGGGAAGGATGGCTGACAAGGGAAGGATGGCAGGCAAGGGAAGGATGGCAGGGCGATAGAAAGGCAGGGCGACACGAAGGCGGGGGAGGAAAACTGACGGAAGTGGGAGGAGAGGAGAATGAGAGGAAGAGGTGGCGATGGAAATACAAATAATAATAATAAAAAAAAAGCGAGCAATGGGGGCGAGACGAGTAAGTGACGACCAGAGCGGGTTGAAAGCGAGACTTGAGAGAAAATAGAGAGGACGGGCGAGAATTGCTGGAAGGGTGGCGGAACGTTGGCGGGCGAGTGGCGGAAGGGTAACGGAAGGTTGGCAGGAAAAGGAGCGCGCGCCAGTAGTGAGATGAAATGGCAAGACGCACATCGAAGGTTTTTGAGGCGCCTCAAAAGTCGTCTCAAAAAAATTGAGGCGCCTAAAAACAGGAGCATGCGCCAGTAGTGCGATGGAATGGAATGGCAAGACGCACATCGGAGGGGAGATGGCAGGGTGCGGAAAGATGCGGATGAGTGGTGAAGGGTGGCAGGGAAAGGAGCTTGAACCAGCAGTGCATGGATGGAATGGAATGGAATGGAATGGAATGGCAAGACGCACATCGAAGGAGCTCTGAAGGCGAGCCGCCATCGCATCCATTGACTGGCGATCCTTCGCCGCCAGCCTGAGAAGATCTCAGCCGTCCGTCTCAGCTGTCCTTCCGAGGTGCAACGGTGAGAATCGGGGGAAGTAGCAGCACGGAAAGGCGGAGGGTGGAGGAACAGCGGAATGGGAGTGCTGGAGGAAGGGGAGAGACGAGGCGGGAGCAGGAACGAGACCATGTCTGTCGCGATAATGACGGACGGTAGTTAGGGCGAAGCGCCGCAAGGAACGGAGATGGAAGGGGCTGAATGACGGGGGCGACAAGCAAGCGACATTCCACGCGACTCAAACGCACGAGTGCGAATTTTTGGTCCAATCAAACATCATTTCAGGCGACTCTAAAGCTCCTCACTACAATTTCACACAGCGATTCTTTCAGCCAGCTCGAACCTGGCATCTGTATAAGGAAGAGACAATCAAACCTAGATGAGACGTACGATTCTATAGAGGAGAACTCGCCGTGGACCTGGGAGAAGGAAAAGGGATGAAACGACGTCGATCGAGGCTTTAGTAATACACTACTGCTGCGTGCATAGTAATCCTACTCCGACTCCTTCGTTCGCCTACTTGGCTCGCCGGGAGGTACCACTGGTATCGTTCATACAGTCAGGCGCTTAGGGAGTAGTAGTGCAGGTGCTTCGGGAACGTGCGTCCTCGCTACACGAGGCAGGCGAATGCTCGATAAGAAGTTACATGCCTGAAATAGAGGATATCAGTGGAACCTGAACCATTCTCTTCTAGTAATTGGCGTAAGCATGTTTTCTCATGGAGAGAAATCTCTTGGCACACATACAAATACGGTTAAGTGGTATATTATTCTAAGCTCAGTACAAGTTTTCCAAACATCATCCTTGAACGCATGTTGGCAACCTGGCAGGGTGAGGTGGAGGCATTATCAATCCAGAAACAAATCCTCTCGCCTCCCTCAAAAAAAGAAATATGGCATGCATTTAGAACTTCCTCCTGGTATACCATTCCTTGGTATCGCAATTTAACTCTTTTTCTCCATTACTTCTGCCCACGGGCCAGCTGAGCCAGGTCACGCACCCTTGGTATCGCAATTTAACTCTTTTTCTCCATTACTTCTGCCCACGGGCCAGCTGAGCCAGGTCACGCACGCTCATGGGAGAGATGGAGTCCTGGCGGCCCACAAACAAGTTGCGGGCGAGAATGCGGTTGAGGGACTCCGTGTGGTGGAACTGGTCCCAGAACACCGCGTCCTGCGGGCGGCTGCACTGCGATGCGGTTACCATGTTACCGCCCAGGTTGGCCGTGGTGCCGCACTGCACGAGCCCGTTGAGGGGAGGCGGGCCACCACAGCAGGCGTTGCTGCCCTCCAGGAGGCCTGGTGGGGGAGGGAGCAGAGTGTAGGATGAGTGTGAGATATGTCAAGCCGCCACAGCCAGCGTTGCTGCCCTCCAGGAGGCCTGCAGCGCAGGTTACCCATTTCGACCACACCACCCCACACGTCAGTCAGTGGAATGTGCGGAGAAAAGGCAAAGATCAGGCCAATATCTCTCGTGCGCGAAGCGAGCAGCAGGGCAAGAGATTGAAACTCACCAACAGTGGCGGGATCAGCAACAGCGGTCTCCACAATCCCATACACCTTGGCCAGCAGGATCTGCGATCCCTGCAGCTCCTCCCTCAGCCTCCCCGCAGCAGCAGCCAGCAGGCGGTTGTGCGCCTGCGCGTACCCATTCAGCACCGCCACACACTGCGCCTGCTGCAGCGCCTGCCGCCACAGCGGCGCGCACCCAAACGGCGGCAGCTCCGACAGCAGAAACCGCCTTGCTCCCAGCCCATACAGCCTCCTCACGTACGCCTCGATTGCGCCCACCACCGCGGACGCAAAATCCCGCGCCTGTTGGGAGCCTCCAGCAGCGAGCCTTGGGATGGTGCTCTCGTTGACGCGCTCTCCAAAGAAGAGGATCTGGTAGTCGTTGGCTCCCAGCCCGACGATGTGGAGTGCAGAGGAGAAGACGGCTGGCGACTTTGGGAGGAGCGGGTCGGCGCCGGCTGCTGCGTTCACGTCGGCCTGGAACTTGGCGTACCACTGCAGCTGCTGCGATGCCTGGAAGGCCGGGAGGGTCTGTGAGGGAAGGGCGCAGGACAAGAAGGACAAGAAGGACAAGAAGGACAAGGACAAGAAGGACAAAAAGGACAAGGACAAGAAGGACACAGGGGAGGATGGAAAGGAAAAGAAGGGGGGCTTGCTTTGAGTGAGTTGGAAAGGAAAAGAAGGGGTTTTTGCTCTGAGAGCCAGGAGCATATGCGAGGCTGCTACTGCGTTCACGTGGGACTGCAGTTTGGCATACCACTGCAGCTGCTGCGATGCCTGGAAGGCGGGGAGTGCCTGTGGGGGGAAGGTCGCAGAGCACAATGGAGGAGCGAATAATTCGGGGCTTGAATGATGCTGCGATGCACAACAGGCAGGAGAAAATCTGCTGCAAGGGGTCCCGAAATACAGCATATAAGCACATAGGCATGTGGGCATTTGACTCACGTATCCCGTGATGTTGAAACTGGCGCCAGCGCTGGCGAAGCTCACTCCGAGCGTCGCATTGCGGCCCGGCTGCAGGTACGGCGGAGGCGACCCGGGGAAGCCCAGCCACTCCGCTGCAGCATGGGAACGTTTGGAGAGCGGGGATGGTTAGTAGGATGAAAAATTATGGTTGAGGGGTGATGGTGAAGGTAAGGGGACGATAGGTTATCTCGCTCCTTAGAAGGCATGATGATGATGCGAGAATGACGTACCGAGGTAATCGACGGTCAGCTTGCCGTCGCACACGCGGCCCGACGCGGGGATGTAGTTAATGCCGTACGGAGCGAAGTTATTCTTGGGCCAGTCGGCCGGGCCGTAGTTGTTGTTCCCCACGTCCAGGAGCGAGTCGCCGAACACGAAAATCGCATCGATAGGACCTGGCGACCCGGGCGACGTCGCACGAGCGGGCCGGGCGACGGCGAGTGACGCTCCGAGAAGCAGCACGAGCATGGTGACGGGGCGAACGAGTTTGTGCGATGCCTGCGACATCTTGGCGACGTGCTGCCCGACGAAAGCGACTCACACTCAGAGTGCGAGAGATCGAGTGACTAAGGGAAGTAGTCGCAAGAATGACTGAAGATGGGTGATGAGCCAACGCGACACCTGTCTAATTATACTATCACGACGAGAACTGAGTGTCGCCATGGTAGATGGACTCTTCAGAACGCGAAGCTCGAGTCGCGCTCCGACTAAGTCACAACTGCATGCATGAATCGCGGTGTTCCTGAATCGCAGGCTTGAGTCGCACATCCGACCCTCTGAATCTGCAACGAGTATCCCAGATGGTCACTTACTCGTCCTGGGACAGATCGGACGGCCATGAATGGCCTGTAGTCTACACGAGCTACTACCAGCTGTAGCTGTAGCTAGTAAAACGAAAGTCAATCGCACTGCAGCGACATCGCGAAATGTCTCGAGCCCACAAAATGTACACAGAAGCTTTTCTTGCGGAAAAGCTTCTGAAAAGCTTCGGCGGGGCTCAGAGAAAGCTCTGTCCCCAAAGTGACTTCGAAGTGACAAATGGCCATTTGCTTTCACGCAACCATGAAGTGGCGAAAATGTTGATTTCGCCACTCAACCTCTATCCACACTCACCCAAGCGGTGTTCCGCGTTGTACAATGGGTTACACTGTGGTTTGTTTTTCAAAGAGAGAGACGAAGACCACGAATTGTAACAGAGCAGACCGAAATATAGAAATCAAACAACCAATCAACAAGCACGGCGACAAACTCAAGCCAACGAAATTTGAGAAGAACCAAATCATCGCCAAACACTACCCCCCCAACTCCGTTCCGTTGTACCCAACCAACGAACATTCTTTAACCAATCAAAAGAACCAGACACTTTTCCACCTATCTCCACGTCATCAGCTCTCACACCAACACCTCCAGAATGGACTAGAGCCATTTCTTCTCGACCACTTCTTCTCAACCATTTCTTGTTAACCAGTTTCCTGACCATTTTTTCTCCTTTTCTCTCGTCCGTTTCTCTAGTCCGTTCATGCTCATCTCTAGTCTGTTTCTGCATTCTCCAGCAAGATTTCCCTGACGTAGTATTGCCCTAATGTGTTCATGGCATCGTTCTATGCTTGCTGCTTCTACGCTCGTTTTAATTTTCTCCGTTGTTGTTGCCGTGTTTTGTGCTATCGGACGGTTGGCTGCAGATACGATTCTGGTGTTGACGTTGATTAGGAAGGGACGGCATCGTGCTGATTTTTTACATGTTCCGGTAAGTCGCATTCCCGCCTAAATCGTCGAGACGTGCTTAGCGTGCTGTGCACGGAATGGAGGGCCTGGTGGGAGTGCCTTCTGTCTTGGTCGGTTTACGTCGTGCAGATGTGTGTTATTTTCACGGTGCGCTCCTCATCGCGCGACGTACTATTTATATTGGCGTATTTCGTGAGCAAGTTTCCAAACGGACGAGTATTCGTAGTGTACCTGCTGCCGACAGGTAAGTGGCCGCAGGTATGTTTACTACTAGATTCGTACTCGCCTGGCTAACGTCAGTTTGTTATGTCTACTACCAATTCGTATTCTCCTGGCTAACATCAGTTTTTTGCAGGTTCCATGGCAAGAGAGAAAGAGCTACCCTGCCATTCTTGAGTTTTGTTGTTTTTGTTTTTTCGTGTGTTTCAGAATCTCAGGCTCAAGTGGTTGAAGGGGCAGCAATGTTTGCTTCTGTTGAAGTACCTTCATTTAGATTGTTTAGTTGTGCCAGAACATGTTGATTATGGTGTTAGTGCGAATTGTTTGCTCTGATGTACTAGGATTGTATTTATAAAAGTACAAATGTACAAATATTCTTCACACTTGTCATTGCGTAGGTCAATATGCGTCTCGAAATCTGATTGGTCCACGTGGCATTTTGCCGTCCATTATTCACCTTGACACCTGGCATAAAATATCTGTAAACGTGGCGTTCATGCATCCACGTGGCAAAAGTGGACTTAAAACCCAAGACCTTCAGACAAATGTCACTCCTGATGTCTCCTTTTAGTTGGGTTGTGTGGTTGCGATATGGCTGTTCTTTTGCAGCATTGTCGTCACTTTTCCGCAACTTCGAAAGTCACCCCGCCCCAGAAGCCTTTGACCTAGACTTTTTTCTTGCGTAACCAAAGTTGCGGAAAAGCAACTTTGAAGCTGCTGGCCCGCAACTTTTCGAGCCTCACACTTTTGCGATGGACGGTTCCATCGTCCCACGAAGTGAGCGACAGAGCGACGAAGCGGCAGACGGCCACCGAAACTATCTGCAAGCCTCGCATTGTGGAAACCGAGCGTCGGAAAGCGGCTCGCATCGTCAAGGAATGGACGCCTAGTACAGTAGCTCACAAACCTTCCCAGCAGGCGTCAAGGAATGGACGATAGCACCTGGTCGGTGAGTACAGTAACGGATGCACTGCATCGCCTGGTAGCCTTGTTTTCTCGGACTCTCGACATCCTATTTCACAAAAAACAGGCTAGATGCATGCGACCGACGGCAGAAGAGTGAGATTTCAGAGGTCCAACGGTTTTGCTGCGGTTTTGCTGCGGTGCTGTACGGTGAAGCGGTGCTGCGGTGCGGAGCTCAGCAGATTGGCCCTGTTTGATAGCTTTGAAGTCCAGGGGTAACTACAGCCCCAATAAAGTATGGCTCTGTGCCGCTCCGCTGCATAACTGCTACCATTTTCTGAGATTGACGCGGCTTGATTTGAGATTCTCAAATTGAGAATAAACTGGCGGGAATTGCGTTTCCACCACTTGGGCTGCCGTCAAATGATTGGTCGATGATCTATCCAGATGATGTGCGAGGATAGCTTGGGGTAATGTTACGAGTGCAATTGAGTTGTTAGGAATTTTCTAATTCCCGGCACTCCGTACGCGTACAATTCCAACTTTTCGGAGCTCAGGTTGGCTCGCCTTCCGAACGTCCTTCGCGTCGTCTTCGGATTTCCCAACCCCAAACCTGCACCCAAACTTCGAGCGACTTCGCGACCTTGGCCTAGCTAGCTTTGCTATATTATACCTAGGCCTCGTTGTTTGTGCAGTAGTTGTAATCACTTCCGCGATATTGCATTCTGCGCACTCTTCTTTCGTACAACTAATAACACTTGGTATCAGAGATACTTTCCAAGGTTACCCTCCACTTTCCGGGGTAGTTTAGTGCAGGGGTGCGATAGACTTGGTGGCCTGCAAAGCGGTCGGCTGAGATAGAAACGATTATCTCGCTCCAACTAATAGCTTTTGCGCCTTAATCAAAGTCTGAAAAATCGTTGTTAACCCGCTGCCCGTTAGGAGAAGCCTGAGAAATATGGACCAGGCTGAGTTTTGTCAGATTTATATGACATAGCTGTTGTAGGCTATAGTGGGGTAGCACATGTGGGGTACGACTTTCTAGGGTTTGTACTTGTACCCAACTTTCCCTTAGTCAATTCATTCTCGTTCATTTTCTCATGGTATCGAGCAGGTTCCCCTGTGGGAACTATTCCTAGGGCCCACCACCTTTTTTCTCCTGCCCGGAGCGCGCTTTACTCTCCCCGAGTTGCGCTCCCCTCTTTCGGCCCTGTCGCGCCGCCTAAGCGGCCCCGTCGCGTCGCCCTCGCGGCCCCGTCACGTCGCGCCGCCCTAGCGGCCGCGTCGCGCCGCCCTCGCGGCCCCGATCCACCGCCCTTGCGGCTCCGTCGCGTCGCGCCGCCCTCGCGGCCCGTTCGCGCCGCCCTTCCCGGCCCCGGCGCCGCCTCTGCTGGCTCCGCCGCCTACCCCTGCGGCCCCGGCGCCGCCCTTCCCGGCCCCGGCGCCGCCCTTCCCGGCCCCGGCGCCGCCCTTCCTGGCCCCGGCGCCGCCTCTGCTGGCCCCGTCGCCTACCCTGCGGCCCCGGCGCCGCCCTTCCCGGCCCCGGCGCCGCCCTTCCTGGCCCCGGCGCCGCCTCTGCTGGCCCCGTCGCCTACCCTGCAGACCCGGCGCCGCCCTTCCCGGCCCCGGCGCCGCCCTTCCTAGCCCCGGCGCCGCCCTTCCCGGCCCCGGCGCCGCCTTTGCTGGCCCCGTCGCCTACCCCTGCGGCCCCGGCGCCGCCCTTCCCGGCCCCGGCGCCGCCCTTCCTGGCCCCGGCGCCGCCTCTACCGGCCCCGCCGCCGTCCCCACGCGGCCCCGCCGTCACCACCGAGCCGCCGGCGCCGCCGAGCTACTGCCGAGCCGCCCGAGCCACCCGAGCCGCCCGAGCCGCCGCGCCACCTGAGCCGCCCGAGCCGCTGGGTCGCCGAGCTGCCGAGCCGCCGTACCGCCGAGCCGCCCGAGCCGCCGCGCCACCTGAGCCGCCCGAGCCGCCGGGTCGCCGAGCTGCCGAGCCGCCTTACCGCCGAGCCGCCCGAGCCGCTAGAGCCGCTGAGTCGCCGAGCTGCAGTTGCTGCCGAGCCGCCGTACCGCCGAGTCGCCCGAGCCGCCGAATCGCCGAGCTGCATTTCCTGCCGACCCGCCGAGCCGACCGAGCCGCCCTATCCGGTAAGAGCAGCGCCTCTATTACTGCACTGCCCTTACCCTACTGTTTGCCCTGCTAGTCTACTGCTGTCATGGCTACCCCTAGTGTCCTCGCTTTTGACGCTGAGGGTGGGGCCATTGACTTCGACGTCTGGGTAGATGACCTGCAGCTTTTCCTACAGTGCGATAGGGCAGACGGTCTCTCCCTCTTTGACCTCACTTCTGGTGCCTCTCCTGCCCCTGCTGCTGATGCTGACGCCACTGTTCGCTCACAGTGGGCCACACGCGATGCTGCTGCACGTCTTGCTATGCGTCGCCACCTGCCTACCTCTGAGCGTGCGCACTTTAGCCAGTACAAGAGTGCTCAGACCTTGTACGACGCTGTAGTTGCACGCTACTCCTCCCCTGCCACTGCTGCACTGAGCCGCCTCATACTACCGTACCTCTTCCCTGACCTTGCTGCCTTTCCCACAGTCACTGACCTCATTACACACCTCCGCACTAGTGACACTCGCTACCGCGCTGCACTTCCTACTGAG